CCGGGCTTTAATCTTTAATCTTTATGCTGATACATTTAAACATGCCTCACAGATTCTGAAAAAATTGCAGTTTTGGCTCCCCAGAGGGTGCCATTGCTTTACGTGTCTACCCACAGGAACTTAATGGTCACTCACTGTGCAGTACATTCAGTATGTTCAGTTTCCTCATCATATGTGTCTTAATACAATGGATAAAATATTAAACACACACACAAAATACACTATGGAACTCAGTTATTTCAAATTTACAGTTTTTAATCAAAGTCCCTTTAAGACAAAACCATACAGGCAGTGACATGTCATGGTATTCTATAGTCTTTGGTTTGTATGACCTCTAATATGAAAAACCAGCCAAAAATGTTTCAAATGAAACTTTATATTTTGAGAATATTGCTTTAAGTAGTACTCAGTTTATTGATTTTTCAACTGACATGTCCTCAAATACATTTTTGGCAGGAAAATACCAGCATAAACAACCAGTATTAGCAATGGAATTGCTATTTTCAAAAGATTGTATAAAATTATTATTATTTTGTTATATGTCATAAATAATCAGCTCGACAATATTGTATCATATTTCTGTAAGTCTAGTATAACCTTCTTATAGAAATGCTTCCTTAAATTACAAAACAAGCAATAAAAGTTACAGAGTTGAAAAGAAATGCATAACAGAAAGGACCCTGTGTCAAATGAATGTTATTATTAAAGAAAGATTTGAAAGTTTTTTTTTGTTTTTTAAATGTTCTTCACACTAAGAAAAAAGATTCACTCAAAGGTTCTTTTGGAGAATCAAAAATAGTTCTTATATGGTATCTGTGAAAACACCATTTTGTGATAACACCTTTATTCTTAAGAGTGTAAACCTGGACAGCTAAGACATCATCGGTCCTCTCCACAGATGCTGCAATGCCTCAGGTTGTTCTCCGCTGACCTCTCTCTGTGGGAACCATGACGTCACAAAGGACATCCAGAGACCTGCACGATGAACGTGGCTCGCTCCCACTGGACATCGATGATGTCCACATACTACTGCAAGGTCAGATTGAAGCTTTTATTGAGCATAAAACTAAAATAAAATGTTGCTCATACCTGATTTGGTCTGTCATTATATGTTATAGGTTTGACAGTATCGAACTGTATATATTGCAATAATTTTCACTACTTGTTTGGACTTCATGGATGATTCTATGAATTCATTCATTCATTCATTCAACAAACTTCTTCATCTGTTTATTCAAAAGCAGATTAAAGTGATTTATTGGTGATGCCAAATGATATGGGTTAAAATCTCTCTCTCGATCTCTCTCTCACGCATACATCCACCCAAACACATTACGCTGTGATATTAAATCAATGACTTAAATAAGGCATAAATAATGCATGGTCATGTGTTTTGCAGATTGTTTGGTAAGAGACAGATGTAATTAAAGTTCTGTTGCCCTGAGTCATGAAGAGTTGCACAAAAGGGTTTTTCTAGAATGCAGGGTGTGGGTATTTCGTTTTTTTTAAACCACAAAAATCTTCGCTGTCTCTGTTGTAGTGTCTTTGTTGTTGTTTTGAGAGTAGAGTAATATGGATGTGTAGATAAGGAATAGTTCACCCAAAAGTAAAAATTTGCTGAAGATGTACTCACCCTCAGGCCAAAATGTAGATGAGTTTGTTTCTTGATCGGAACAGATTTGGATAGTTTTAGCATTGCATCACTTTCTCACCAGTGGATTCTCTGCAGTGAATGGGTGCCGTCAGAAAGCTGATAAAACCATCACAATAATGCACAAGTTATCAACACAACTACAGTCCATCAGTTAGCATCTTGTGAAGAGAAAAGCTGCATGTTTGTAAGAAACTAATCCAACATTAAGGCATTTTCTTGCTTCTGGCCAAAATATGACTCCACAATTGATAATAATGCTTTGTTCAGTGGAAAAGTCCTCCCCTGTTGTCCTCTTAAATCAAATTCCACCAACACATTTGTTTTCTTTTTCACTGGAAAGTGGTGCTGGATCTGTACATATTTCTCTCCTCTGATTCAGACAGGATGGCATTTTCACAGGAGAAAGCACTATTATGGATACAGGCCTCGTATTTTAACCAGAAGCACTGGTTTATTATTGTTAATTTATGGACTAGAGTCATGTGGATTATTGTGATGTTTTTATCAGATGCTTAGACTCTCATTCTGATGGCACCCATTTGTGAGCAAATGATGTAATGCTAGATTTCTAGAAAAAAGAAGAAAAAAAACTCATCCACTTCTCGGTTGGCCTGAGGGCGAGTAACTTTCCAAAAATTTTAATTTTTTAAGTGAACTATTCCTTTAATGAACATAATTTATGCAATTACTTCTGAAAAAACATAATTGCTCACTGCTCCTTTGTGGAGTCGAGGGGTTGTTCAGTTGCCAAGAACTGATGTTTTAATGTGTTTTCAGGCTACTTATTCTCATTCTGTTGTTTTTAAATCATTAGAAAAAACATACATTATGACTTTGGTAATTTTTCTCTGTTGGTTTTCTGAAATAAAATAAAAAATCAGTGTAAATGACTAAAAACGGATAGCAGGTGAAATTGTGTTGCACAATATTTGTTTCATGTCTCAAGAATCAGTGAATAATTGATGTCTTAACATGTTGATCACTGCTGGAGCCCTGAGGATACAGTAGAACTGCATTAGGAGAAGCGTTAATCAGTACCTGTGTGGACATGCTGTGCGCGCTTCTTTTGGCATACGTAAAAGGTGGAGCTTTTTTTGAAACCTGCTGTACTGGCACGTGATCCTGAATGACTTCGCTAAAGGTTACCAGGCAAGTTGTGCCCTGTGTTTACGGTAGATTTCAGTTCTACAGCTGACGCATGTTCTTCAGTATTTCAATGTGGGAGATTTGCATTGCTTTGCTGCATTGCAAGATGAGGCTGGTTTCTGAAACATTTCTGTTGTTGCACACTTCAACATGCAACAACTGATGATAATACAGGGAATTCTGGAATAGCAAATCTGCTGACAGCAGCATGGGTGAGTTTGTAGTTGGTTTGAAATTAGTTCAAAAATATTTTTGTTCCTCTGTTGCAAAATGCTTTTTAAACGTAGATAGACCAGACAGTGTGCAATAATTAAAATACATTTAACTAATATTATTCTATCGTGCACACGTGAACATCATTGTGCAATCACCACTGTTGATGTCTCCTTAAAAGACAACAAAAAGAAGTTGCCTCATTTGGTCAGGGTTGAACACACATCTGAAAGATCTCATAAGAAGAAACACGGATCACAAGGTAAAGTGCACATAATTTGTATAAAACATTTTTTTTTAAAGCGTTCAATATTGCTGTATGTCTTGAAAGAGTTCTTTAAGATTATAGTAATCATGTAGCTTTCAGTTATAGTAGTGTATTTGTTTTTACCTCTCTAATACTATGAATCATTATGAAAGTCATTTGTTCATCATATCTGTCCCGCCTGAATGAAGTATCAGCAAAAGTTGTCATCCATGTTGTGTGTCTTTTCTATTTTTCTCTTCTTTTTGTTTCCCCTCCCTCTGTTGTTCTCTCAAAGGGAGGTGTTGTCTCTAACGATTTAAGAACTGCACCTCCCAAAACACATTAGACCATACGATATGAACTTTGTTCAGTGGAAACATTCCAGTCTTTTCTGTCATTGTGTTTCTGTAGCGTTCATTTAAAGTAAGTCACGAGTAAAGGGGAGTGTTCACTGGGAGGATTTTGTTGTTTTCAAATCTTTCTTTCTGAGGTGGATCAACACCTTGGCTAATGATTCAGTTTTTGAGTTTGTGTCTGCCACATCATTTTTCCCTTGCTGCACTTGCCTCACTCATTTCTTTTGGCCTCTTTCATTGTTGTCATTTAGTTACGAGTCATTCTTTTGGACTAGGTCTCTGGTGGGTTACCTCAGTTACAAATCCCAGAAACCAAACCTGATCCCTGTGTCAGTTTCTGTTTTGCTTAACAGCAGCAACATGCAGTTTGATTTTTTTTAAAGACTACAGACGGATGCCATTAATAAATGTCATTAATTACATTTGACTGAAACACATCAGAGTGATAAAATTAAAACAGGAAATTTAAAACTCTTGAGATTTAAAATCTCATTTACAAGAGGGTCCTGGCCAAGATAGGCAGCACATTTAGTTACACATAAAACAAAATACATTCGTTTACATACACATCACTCAAAACATTTACAATCAGGTGACTCTACAATTAGATCCACCAGAAGCACTGGTTTATTATTGTTAATTTATGGACTAGAGTCATGTGGATTGCTTGTGGATTATTGTGATGTTTTTATCAGATGCTTAGACTCTCATTCTGATGGCACCCATTTGTGAGCAAATGATGTAATGCTAGATTTCTAGAAAAAAGAAGAAAAAAAACTCGGTTGGCCTGAGGGCGAGTAACTTTCCAAAAATTTTAATTTTTTAAGTGAACTTTTCCTTTAATGAACATAATTTATGCAATTACTTCTGAAAAAACATAATTGCTCACTGCTCCTTTGTGGAGTCGAGGGGTTGTTCAGTTGCCAAGAACTGATGTTTTAATGTGTTTTCAGGCTACTTATTCTCATTCTGTTGTTTTTAAATCATTAGAAAAAACATACATTATGACTTTGGTAATTTTTCTCTGTTGGTTTTCTGAAATAAAATAAAAAATCAGTGTAAATGACTAAAAACGGATAGCAGGTGAAATTGTGTTGCACAATATTTGTTTCATGTCTCAAGAATCAGTGAATAATTGATGTCTTAACATGTTGATCACTGCTGGAGCCCTGAGGATACAGTAGAACTGCATTAGGAGAAGCGTTAATCAGCACCTGTGTGGACATGCTGTGTGCGTTTCTTTTAGCATAAGTAAAAGGTGGAGCTTTTTTTTAAACCTGCATTACTGGCACTGATCCTGAATTACTTCGCTAAAGGTCACCAGGCAAGTTGTGCCGTGTGTTTACGGAACTTTTCAGTTCTACAGCTAACACATGTTCTCCAGTATTTCAATGCGGGAGTTTCGCACTGCTTTGCTGTATTGCAAGATGAGGCTGGTTTCTGAAACATTTCTGTTGCTGCACACTTCAACATGCAGCAACTGATGATAATACAGGGAATTCTGGGATAGCAAATCTGCTGACAACAGCATGGGTGAGTTTGTAATTGGTTTGAAATTAGTTAAAAATAATTTTGTTTCTCTTTTGCAAAATGCTGAAAGTAGATAGACCAGACAGTGTGCAATAATAAAAATAATATTTAGTGCATTTTTAACTGACAATAATATTATTCTATCATGCACGTCTGAACATCATTGTGCAATCACCACTGTTGACATCTCCTTAAAAGACAACAAAAAGATGTTGCCTCATTTTGTCGGGGTTGAACACCCATCTGAAAGGTCTCATAAGAAGAAACATGGATCACAAGGTGAGGTGCACATATGTATTAAAAAAAAAAGCAAACTTATAGAAAATAGATTTTTAAAAATAAAATAAGTGTTCAATATTGTTTTTAAAGAGTTCTTTCAGGATACAGTAATCATGGAGCTTTCAGATATAGTAATGTATTTGATTTTACTTCACTATTACTATGAGTCATTACAAAAGTCATTTGTTCATCGTATCTGTCCCGCCTGAATGAAGTGTCAGTCAAAAGCTGTCATTCATTTTCTGTGTCTTTTCTTTTTTTGTCGTCTCTATATTTTCACTATTGTTTCCCCTCCCTCTCTTGTTCTCTCAAAGGGAGGTGTTGTCTCTAACGAGTTAAGAACTGCACCTCCCAAAACAAATTCGATTATACGATATGAACTTTGTTCAATGGAAACATTCCAGTCTTTTCTGTCATTGTGTTTCTGTAGAGTTCATTTGAATTAGGTCACCAGTAAAGGGGAGTGTTTGCTGGGAGGATTTTGTTTCTTTCTGAGGTGAATCGACAACTTGGCTTGTTCAGTTTTTGAGTTTGTGTGTCTATTGCAATTTTCCCTCGCTGCACCTGCCTCACTCATTTCTTTCCCTATATTCTTTTGGCCTCTTTTTCATTGTTGTCTGTTAGATATGATAAATTTTTTTGGACTAGGTCTCTGGTGGGTGACAAATCCCAGGAACTGAATCTGATCCCTGTGTCAGTTTCTGTCTTGCGTAACAGCAACACTAGCAACATGCAGTTTAATTTTTAAAGACAACAGATGGATGTCATTAATAAATGTCATTAATTACATTTGACTGAAACATATCAGAGTGATAAAAGTATATATAAACAAATGTTTATTTTTATTACTATAAGAAAATATGTTCACAAGATGGTTACCTTTGTTATGGGTCTTTTTCAGTTTTTCTGCAGGTTTCTTTTACCTGTTGTGTAATAAAACAACAGTATTATGTACTTCTTCAGTGCTTGACATATCAGTTTCCAGGGTAGAGATGACCGTGGGTCAACTGTGTCAAGTGTAAAAGCGTGTTAGTATTTGATAGCTGAACTCTAAATAAATCCCTAGGAAACTTAGCATGGGTGTCAGCTGATAACTTTAACCATTTCAAAGCTTTCCCTCATCCTGTGCTGCTGATACAGGAGTGTGTGAACAGTGATTGTCAAACCCTTCCAGTCTTGTCAAGGAAACTATTCAAACACACGTTCTCTCATTCTCTTTATGGGTCAGTCGGTCAAGAGCCACATCTCTGAGACATTATCCTGATAACTGGCCTGAGAGTCTTATTCATAGTGATGGCCATGTTTAGCAGTTAATGAGGGAGAGCTCTTTTAGAATCACCGCAGGCTGGCAGAGTGAGTCAGGTTGGCAGTCAGGTTTGTCTTATTGGTTTTTCAGAAACAGTGGTTGAAGATTTCACGTGTTCATTGAGAGGAGAGTTGTCAACACTGAGAAAACTGGTGTAGACTTGGTCATATTGTGAGAGATTTTAAGGTCCTTGTTTAAGAAGAAGAATGGAAGAAGTGGATTGTGAGAGAATGGGGGAGAAAGATGTTCTTCACACAGCTGATGAGCTCAATGACTTTGTGGAACTTTATAATGGTAAACGTAAACGGCACTCTATTTGATGTGACTACTTTTAGGTCTGTATTGCATTTCATGTATGTGGAGCGTATGCAAATTATTATGACAAAAGTTGGATGAAAGAATGAATGAATTCACTCTCAAACAAGTGTTTTTGCCAGTGTTTACATACATGTTTATTCTTCTACAGATTAAAACATGTTATTTAAATTTAATTTAATTGGGGTAAAAGGTTATGCCATTGATACACATTTCATGTATTAAAATTGCCAAAGACAAACCTGTCCATTGTCATTATACCCTTCAAAATGTTATGGTTGAATACAAATGCACCTGTTTCGTCCTCATGCATGTATAAGATCTATTCTTAGACATCGTTTGACTTGATTTGAACACAGCACATAGCAATTCAATCCTGCAAATCATGTGTGTAGTTGTATAAGGTGTGTTCAATCCCTATGTTTCTACATGCTGGTTTTCATAATGTTCTCCTCTCTGTTTTGCCCTCAGTTGAGCAGGAGCAAATTCAGAAAAGAACCTTCACGAACTGGATCAATGCCCAGCTGTCTAAGGTGAGGTTCAAAGTTCAAGAGCTCCTAAACCTGACTTAGAAAAGCTGTAATAGTGATGTTGTGTTTATCTGAATCATCATGGACCTCACTTGCATTATTTTTAATCAAGTGTATATTGACAGTGAGTAAATGCAACTAAATTACAGATAAATGACCGACATGGAGAGGCTTTTTTGGTTGAGGTTATTCCTGCAGGTTCTCCAATAGCGGAGAGGGAATGAGGGGTGGGCAGGGGGTAAATATAATCTTCTCCCACATGGACCAGAAAGACAGACAGCAACAGGAGTTGGTCAGCACACACGCTTGTGGACACACATATTCACACCCACAGCTACTTATAAAGTGAACAAATGACATGATCAGTTTGTCATGGCTTGACATCTTGCGTGCATGAACAGAGGACGTGTAAGAGGTGTTATTTTAGATAATTTCACAATGCTCTTCTCTCCGTATCCCCAGCCAACACTTACTAATGCCTGGAGCTCTCGGTTTTATGTAAAAGGTTTCAACAGGATAAGTTCACACAAGCTTGTTTGATTTGTCCTCTAGACATGTCTAAAATCTCATGAATTATTGTAATCACAGTTAATACATTATAATATTTATCAATTCATTGTTACACTATGAATTTAAATTTAGTTATACTTAGTTACAACAAGATATAATGTATTACAACGCACATTATGAATAATTATAATGCATTATACCCTTTAATAACCCTTTATAATGCATTATACATAAAGGCTTTAAGTGAAGTGTTACCAATTGTTTTTTTTAGGTGATATATGACCCAGAAATGTTTTTGTGCCTGTATGGATTAGTTAGGAATTTATATATTGTGTGCATTCTGGTGTTTAATATGTAATATTTAATTTTGCTCTCTCAGAGGAGTCCTCCAGTTACAGTGGTGGATCTTTTCAATGAATTCAGAGATGGAAGCAGACTATTGGACTTGCTGGAGGTGTTGAGTGGTCAGAGAATGGTAAGAGTCTGATTCATTAATGGTCAACTGATTTTTCAATAACCTATGCTGATATCTAGAGAACAAGGTGGCCTTTGCCCAATATATATATATACATTTATACTTATACACCTATAATACAGCAACATTTAATGTAGATTTTGAGAAAAGATTAATATTTATTTTGCACAATTATACTGCATATCTGCTTAAAAATGTTTGAAAACAGAAGAATGTGCATGATTGATAAACTCAAAGTATTGGTAGATATGCCAATCTATTACAAAACCATGAGCAGTGATTTTGTGATAACCACAACCTACCTTCATTTTAGAGCCGAGAAAAAGGAAGAGGGACATTTCAGCACAGAACAAACATTGAGAAAGGCCTAGCGTTCCTTAAGAGGAAATCGGTAAGATGCACCACAGTGGAAAATACTCAAGGAAATGTATCAACACATTAATGCATAAACACAATATTCGACTTTTTCTCCCACAGGAGAAAGTTTTCAAATTTAATTGTGTGCAATCAATTTAAATTTGTAAAAATAATTTAAAAGAAATCGTAATAAATTAATCCATTTGTGTTGAAACTACATTAATGCTTTTTTTTTGTTTGTTCAGGTGATTTCTGTTCCCAGTGTACATGCTTTTTTTTTATAAGAGTTTCTATTATGTTGGAGTTTTGGGGTTACAGTACCATTGTTGTGAAGAGAGGAGCTTAGGCTGAGCACAGGCTAATGAAAGTGAAAATTATTCTGTGTTGCTTTGAAAAACAATCACATTTTTCTTTGCCCCTCCAGCCAACATCATGCATTTCACACGATTGTGTGAAGAAAAGCATTACTTTTAGCTCACTGCTGCATGGAGTTGAAATATGAACATCTGTTACTTTATCAACATCTTTGTCCTGCAGATCAAACTGGTCAACATCAGTGTCTCGGACATCATGGACGGGAAGCCTTCCATCATTCTGGGTCTCGTCTGGACCATCATCATGCACATTCATGTAAGTTTACTGTCACAGTCTAACAAAAGAGTTGGGTTATATTAACCATTAGATTTAAGAAGTCCTAATAACGTGTACCAATATAAAATGAACTACAAATATTCTCAACTGAGGAGAACGATCGTCAATTTTGTGTTTTTTCTGATGGGTCTTTTACACTGTTTAGATCGAAGAGTTGGCCAGCACATTGAACTTTAGTTCTCGCCAGTCGTCTCTGGAGTCACTGACGAGTTTAGACACTCGTTCGACCATCAGCAGTGCCCGCAGCAGTCCGGTGCCACCCCATGGTTCACCCCTGCACACCCGTTTCCGCGTATCTGCCAAGAAAGCCCTGCTGCTGTGGGTCAGAGAGCAGTGCCAAAAGTGAGGAACAACCTGCTAGAAGGGATTCTTGGGAACAGTGAGATTCTGTTTTATGAAACCAATTACCTTTTTCTGTCTTTTTTCACAGGGCTGGTTGTACTCTGAATGTGAAGGACTTTAAGGCGAGCTGGAGAAGTGGTGTAGTGTTTTTGGCAATACTTCATGCTCTGAGACCGAATATAGTGGACCTAACCAGAGCCCGAACAAGAACCAACAGACAGAACCTGGAGGAAGCCTTCCACATTGCTGAAAGAGAACTTCACATCCCCAGACTACTAGATCCAGCCGGTAAGTGTGTGTTTATGCTGTGTTGTTTTGTTGTATAGTATGCAGCAAGCAGTGATCATTTTAGGCTTTTGTTTTCTATACTACATTCTCATAGAAGAATGGTGTATTTGTATTTCAGATGTTAATGTTAGGGATCCTGATGAAAAGTCTATTATGACATATGTTGCTCAGTTCCTGCAGTACTCTAAAGATGCTTCTGTTTCTGATGAGGAAATGCAGGTAAGCCACACACACAAAAGTGTAGACTTTTCTCATTGACTTTTTATGCTGTTTACAATGACTATACCCTAAATCTGGTCTTTCACATGCCTTTGCCATTTATTTATTTTAATAAAAATAATATTTTGCCCATCTGAACCATTTTTACTAGTGAACACTATACTCTCAAGAATGGAAGGAATAGTTTAGCCATAAATTAAAGTTCTGTCATCATTTATTCACTCTCATGTTGCAGCCATTCCTTGAACTATTTCTTCAAGATGTTTTCCTAGGTTTTTTTTAAATTGCATTTTGAATCGTAATCACAATTTTTGTCATCACAATTAGACATTTTCCACAAATCATGCAATCTTAGGTTTTTACTATACTGTATATGGGGGGACGTTTTTATATTGATCATATTCATAATATATCAAAACGCACACAGGACGGTATTCCTCCAACATTTCATACTGTAAATCGAAATGCTCAAGTGACTCTTTATGCTCTCACATCTCTTTTTTCCTTCTTCCTCTGTTCTCTTCTTCTTTCTGTTTTTTCCCTCTCAATGGTGGTTTAGTATCTCACTCCTCCTCAGCGCCTCTCTCCTGTCAATCTGCCATCAGAATTTACTCCTTCTATAGCTGCATCAGCTTTAAGAAAGGTACTTCTATCTGCCTGTCTCTCTCTCTCTCTCTTAGTTTTAGCTGCTGGATTCATTAATTAGTTTCATTCATTAACAGTTTTTTTTTCTTTAGTTTTGTAAAGGTGTGTTAGTTGTTTTGTTACTAGGATTATTCACAATGTCAATGAAAGGTTCATTCGGACTTGTCGGGCCTGTTGTTTAACCCTAAACCAGTGTGTGAGTAAATGCAGTATATACACTCTCAAAAAGGTACAAAAGCTATCACTCACATGGTACCTTTTCAAAATTAGTACATATTAGTACTTTTTGAAAAGGTACAGCGGCAGCTTTTGTACCTTTTTTTCTGAAAGTGTACTGACATGTTTTTAGGCTTCTCTTTTAATAATCGAGATTTTGGGTTTAAATTTATAAGAATATATAAGGAAAGTGTATATCTTAGGTTGAAGTATGTTATCTGAGATTCTTAATGGTTTTAAACTTTTTGACTGATTTTGACTGAAGAGTTTGACTGATTTTTGCTATGGTCCACTTTTGTAATTGTTTTACTTGAACTGTTCTCTGATCAGGCTCACCTGTTAATGCCCTGTCCAATCAAATCAGGCCCTCCCAAATCACCTGAGACAGCTCGAGCAGCTGCTCCTGGGGTAAAATATCAACACTGTCCCCTTTTATGATGCCCCCTGTGCTGCTCAGTAGCTACTAGTGTCTTGCATGTATAAACATGCTGATAACTGTAAACTCAATTAGGCCTATGTAGATAACCCCAGAAATTACAGTGCTAATCCATTAAAACCAGATGTTATAGAGATAATCTGTGGAATTAAAGAGATAATGTATTTAATAAAGCAGCTCTTGTGTTTGAAGATTCTAATACACTGAACCTGAGCTTTCGTGGCACTTAGCAGAAGCATTTTAATTACAGACATGCTGAGTAAGTTGGTTTGTGTTAAGAACTTGCTTCCTCCAGAGGACTACAGTACTAAACTCTGACTACTTTACTGTTTAGTAGTCTATAATGCAAATAGTATTTAACTTGCCGAGTTGTTTAATCCATATCATTTACCTAAGACTTGAATTGATGTAAATATTTTTGTTTTGTATACCTTGATTATAATGACACCATAAACTAATTATTAATGGATAAAAAAATCAAAGGCTGTGTTCGAAATCGCACACTCTTTGAGTCTGAGTAGGTACTTCTTTTGAATAAGCAATTATTTCACAAATCAGCACATTAGCCATGTTGTCACTGTCATGTGCCCTAGCAGTGTCAGTTGCGTTGCTTACTAAGTAATCTGGGTACATTTCACCTACTGTTTTATGAAAATTATGAATTCAAACATTCTACTCTTTTCACATACTGTTTAGACTACTATAAAATAAAGAAGTATGCGATTTCAAATGCAGCCAAACAATTTTTGTTGTTGTTGTTGATCTTTCTTTTTTGTTCCTGTCTGTCCAGACCTCAGCCAATCAGAAGGCTCAGGAGGTCACATGCTTGTCATGTGCCCTAGCAGTGTCAGTTGCGTTGCTTACTAAGTAATCTGGGTACATTTCACCTACTGTTTTATGAAAATTATGAATTCAAACATTCTACTCTTTTCACATACTGTTTAGACTACTATAAAATAAAGAAGTATGCGATTTCAAATGCAGCCAAACAATTTTTGTTGTTGTTGTTAATCTTTCTTTTTTGTTCCTGTCTGTCCAGACCTCAGCCAATCAGAAGGCTCAGGAGGTCACATGCTGGTTGGATCAGGCCTATCAGGAGCTAATAGAGGGGTGGGACTCCACTGAAGGAGAGAGCTATGCTGAGAGATACCAGGTAAGACCTGAATTTTTATACATTGATATAGTCTTATTTTAATGAATACAGTCCATAATGCAGAATGAAACAAGATGTACAAGTTATTCTGGGAAATACATTATTGAATTTGAGCAAAGAACATTTATGTATTGATTTTTTGATTGCTTAATTGATTTATCAGCAAATTATGTGAAATACTATTTTAATCTATTGACTGTGTTGAGATACTGAGTAATAATATCCTGGCAATAAACTGAACACATTTGCAGATTTTTTGCATGAATGTTTATTTACTTGTGTTTCAGGTCTTCCACACCTTCATTGTGTCCTTTAACGAGCAGCGGCGGCCTGTAATGCCATTACTAACAGCGATGAAGAGGACTCCTCATCTTAGTGCAGAGCAGAAAGCTCTTAGACGAGCCTGGGATGCTCTTGCTAAGAAGGTCACTGCATCACAGAAATGTTCTCTGTTGTGTTACTTGTTTGATATTTTATTGGTTTTGAGTATTCGACTGTGCGCTGAGATTCATCAGACTCAATAGAAAAACAGAAACATAACATGTCTGAATGCATGCCATTTAAATAGAAAGCATATAGAAATTCCTACAGTAGAAGTCTTATGCTAATTTATGTCTATGTGTAGCTACGTGAGTATAAAACAGAGCTGGACCTGAGCCTTCCATCCCCACTGGATACTGTAGGCCGCTGGTTATTGCGTATTGAAGAGGTTTTATTTGCTGAAGAGGGCGAGCCAATAGATCACGCCCGAGCCGCAGAGGAGGCTCGGGAGAAACTTGAGCTACTAAAGGTTTGACTGACTGACTTCTTTTTATTATGGCTATAGAGCCGTTCAGCCATGAAAATGTAAGTAATGTCATATTTCTGCCTGTGTGTTTATCTGCAGGTGTGTTTGGAGGAGATGCCACATCATATCAAGAGGTTTAATATGTTTCAAAACACAAATGAGTTTGGAGAGGCTCTGGTGCCAGCAGACAAGATGGAAGAGATGAAGAGAAGGTGAGTTTGATTGCTTAATCAGACATGAGTCATATTGCAAATGAAACAGCATCATTTTTATTTGCAGTATTGCTGTTCTTGTTTCATGAAATGCAGTAAACTATTTAATATTTTTGTGTATGCGTCCATTTTCCAGGTTCACCAGTGTCCGTGTAACAGCTAAATATCATGGTATTAAGCTGGAGTACCGTGAGCGCAGACACACAGTGTTAGACCTGCTGAATCAACTCAACATTAAACTGCGATCTTGGAAAAGAGCCTACATTTCCCAGGAGGCTGTTCGTGTGCTAATGCAGGACTGGAATGTGAGTGAGAATTTTAGTGAAGTCAAATAAAGTGACAGAATTTTAAAAATATATTTGCTGCTGGACATTGCTTGGCAGTTAACATTAAACTCTGAAATTATGGATGCTTTATACTTGGATCACAATGAATGTTTTTAGGAGACTGTGAACAAACAGGAACTGGCTTCTTTGCTGGATGGAGCCCTCCATAGACTCAAACTAATCGCGAACAAATACACCAGCAAGGCTGCCTTGGGTAATACAAAGAAACTTTATATGCATGCTCCTAAAATAAAATGATAAAATAAAGAAATAAACTGTAGATGTATGAAGAACTGTAAAACTGTTAAACATTTACATCCTATGCACTTTTTTTGTGAAAAGTGTTGTTATTGAACAATCAGTAATTACTGATATTCTGATGTCTGCTTCAGCTGGAGACTCGACTCAGGTAAATCGTCAGGTGGCTGATCTGGAAGCAGATGTGAGAGCGACTCTGGAGGGTGTACGGATGGTGAGAGGAACTATGGGACGCGTGTTGGCAGCATGGGACTCTTACAGTGATATCTACACCTCAATGCGAGCATGGCTGGAGCAGGGTCCACATGCCCAGCGACACGGACAGAGTACAGAGGTGAACAGACACATGAGAAAACTTTGAATTGACTTTGTTGCTCTCAATCCATGTACTGGGCAGACAAAACTCAAATATTTTTAAGGCTGTTGGTGTTTTTTTTCCGAATGTAAACATGCCTCTCCCATTGATTTCCTAGGTGACATTATCAGTTATGTCAGAGTGGAGTTCCCGCCAAGCTCACCTGAATGAGGTGGCCAACTACTTGACAGAGGTCACAGACCCACAGACAAGCCGTGCTATTTCAGATGAACTCTGCAAGATAAATCTGCTCTGGGCTGACTTTGCCAAAACAGCCCAGTTTGTAAGTTACCCATCATGTTCAAATTTGAATACTCCATGTGCAATCTTAATCATGAAATAAAGTATTAAAGAAAAGTCTGCTTATCTTGAATAGGAACAATACATTGTTTTGTCTGATTGCATTGGACAGAGATTGTAGTTAATAATTTGCTTCTATAAATATAAAATAGAGTTCCTTTTGTAGTATTTTGAAGCAAGTTGCATATTTCAGTCTTTAGCTGAGGAGCCCAGTGCTGGCCCATCCAGTCCTCAGACAGTTCAGTCTCTGATAAGGGAGGCCACTCAGTTACTTAAAGAACCTGTGGAGGTTGTTTCTGGATCACTACGTACTTACACGAAGAGATTACAGGTATGCAGTGTGTGCACATACTTACACACACACTCCCACATGCATAAAAACACACAATATATACTTTGTATTCTCTGTTTTTTATTAGTAGATAGATTTTGTTGCATTATCTTTTTTGTTTTCTAAATTAAGGAATAGACTAAGTAGGATTTAGCTTAAAATTGTTATTTCTCACAGCTTATGATGAAGAAAATAAAGGATGTGGATCTAGAAGCCCTCTTTCCATCTCTAGACTGCTCTCCAGAAACCCTGAGCAAACTTCAGCAAGCCATTCCTGAAGTAAGCAACCACATTGCTTTGGTTGGCCACTTAGGTCTTCTTGTGCATTTCTTGCCTTCATGTATACAATCAAATTATAGACATATTTGCAGAATATAACATTTTTAAAATGTTAATCTAACACAAATAATGATCTGTATGTCTGATGTGTATCTAGGTCCTGCAGACACTCTGTGAGGCTGAGCAGGTGTGTGATGAGCTGCGTGTGAGTGTTAGTGGGTTGGACGGGCGTCTAGCTGAACTGTCACACTGGGAGATGGAAGCCAGAGATCTCTATCAGCTACTAAAGGAGGAAGCGCACAGGCAGAAGAAAGGACAAGATCCCAGAGCACGGGTGAGTATCTACAAGCACCACAAAATATTCATACATCTCCTTCCTTAAGTGATTTGGTATAAAGAACTCGTCTCTCTTTTCCTGTAGCTGTTGATATCAAGGGGTTTACAGTTAGAGGGTCAGGTGGTTATGGAGGAACAGGATCTGCAGGTGATGGTCATGACTAATCAAAAGACTTCACCACTGCAGTATCTCATTGCATCCACCATGCAGGACAGAGTCCGCACTGCTGTTGAAAAGTCACAGGTCTGTCCACTGCTTTTAGATTAACAAAAAAATGCTGTCAGCATGATTGCATCTGTAAAATTACTTTAAATTAATTAATTAAAAAAGATCATCTATAAAACTGAACCAGCTCTTTTGGTAATTATCAGTTATGCCATAAATTATGTTTTCTGTTATTTTCCCACAATGCCTAGGAATGAGTAACCTTGTTTCAGAATTGTATGCAAATGCATTATGATTTTAAAATTCTGCTAAATCTCAACAGGAAGCCATAGGGATGCTTAGCTCTTTGGGGGCTTGCAGAGACCGAAGCCCTGTTAGAGACCAGCCCCCTTCCAAGATCTTTGTCCAATATCAGGAGACAGAGGAAGAGTCCCAAAAACCCTCCTTCCCTGTCTCTCCATCAGGAGCCCCTGGCCAACCAGAACCTCAGCCTGCAGTCAGGGCCAAAGTTCCAGAAAAATCTCAAATACTCTCAGATGTATCTTCTAAAGCAGTAGACCTCAAGGCCCAGCAATGTAGTCAGCCTTTGCCAATGATTGTTGTGCAAGAGTATGAAGAGGAGAAAAGTAGTCCACAACCACAAATGCATCCCTCTGTGCAAGTGAAAGACTCTCAGTCCATTGAAGTTAATTCAGAGAAAGTTGTCCATGCTCAAACAAAACTCGACATAGAGCATCATGTAGAAAGCCAGGAATCTTTACCACAGTCTGTGACACAACAACAGATAGAAAAAGGTCCAGTAGCTGGCCAACCCTCACAGAACCTACAACAAGCAGAGTCACAAGTACATAATAAACAACAATTAGCAACACAGCCACATGTGCACATTCATCAACAAGAGAAAACTCAGCTTGCAAAACAGCAGAAGGTTCAACCACAAGTATCAATCCAGTCACAGCCTCAGGGTCAACTAGAAGCACAAACACAGCAAGCTCCAAAGCAGCAGAGGAAAGTAAAGAAGTCCCAGGCACATCTGCAGAACAGACCTTGGCTTCAACAGAGGAGTCAACCAGAAAATGTTATCCAAAACTCAATGCCACAGTTGGTCCCACAATCTCAGTCAGAGCCTGAGGAAAAATGTCAAATAAGTTCTCAAGCACCACCACAGCATATAGTAGCTGTTAGCTCACCTGAGGCTCAGGGACCTGCTCAAGGCACAGCACAGTCAAAAAGCATTGTTAAGAGTGGTGAGAAACACCTGAAGCCAGCTCAGTCTGTTGCACAAGAGAAACCTCTTGTAGAAACACAAAACCCACCTCAAACTGTGCCAGCAGTTTCAGCACAACCAGTGACTCAAAAACAACCACGACAGCCAGTGACTGTTCCAATTAATCAACAAGTATTTCCCCAACCTCGGCCCTCTTTATCAACTCAAGCTCAAACAACTACACAACAAACACAAGCTACTGCACCCATTAAGCAACAAAAGCAACCTCAAACACAGATAGTGACACCACAGCAACCTCAAGTGATGATCCAGAAACAGGCACAATCACAATCCACGACTCCCATGCAACCACATGTTATGGCCCAATGGCAGCCACAACAGACTATTTCTCAGCCTCATCCTGCAGTGCCACAACCACAAAGATTTCCAGTGGCTCAAACAATGCCCCAAAGGCCAATTCAACAGTACCCTACATCTCCCATTCAACCACAAATAACAATGCAGAGACAACAGTCTCAGTCCCAGCAACCCACAATGCGCAATCCGACTGTAATTACCCCTCAACCCAAAGGTGCATCCCCCATACAACCCAGAATCATCTCTATGCCTCTACTCCAGATGGCTGTTCAATCTCTAACCCAAACTCAGGTCAAAGCCCAGGGAAGTACACCACATGTGATTCAACCTCAGGGGCAACCCCAGTGGAGTCAACCAGGAGATGTCACCCAAACGTACCCCAGAGTGCAAGGACCAGTTTCTGTTGCTGCCCAAATGCAATCACTGGCCCATTTCCAAACTCATTTCCAACCTCAAAGTATCCCTCCAACTCAACCTCAGCAGTGGTCACCAATAAGACCAGGCATAGTGAGCCAGACATACCCCACTGTCCAAGTTCCAGGTCAGGTAGTTCAACCTCAACCTCAAATGGCAGTTTACCCTAAAATCCAGCTGCAATCACAGCTTCAGCAGTGGCCCTCCGCTAGACCTGAATCACCTTGGGGTCAATCACAGATAAGACCTCAAGGTCCAGCTCAGCATATAGTGCCCTATCAGCAATGGAGGCCTATCAGTCCAGAGAGAGTCAGTCCAGTATACCCAAGGGCTGAAACCCAAGGGCCCAAGGGACCACATCCTCAGTTCCAATATCAAGCCCTACCAAGGCCAGCAAGCCCTCAACGTCAGTGGAGTCCAGTCCGGCCAGAAAATCAGTTTCAAGTTTCTTCCCAGACTATGTTCCATGGTGCTCCCCAGCCAGTAGCTCCATGGAATCAACCACCTTCTCAAGCTCTCATAAGACCTCAGAGTCCACAACAGCCTCAACAAAGTCAGCAAAAGTGGAGTTCATCCAGGACAGAGGCCCCATCTGCAACCCTCATCCAAAGCCAAGTTGCCCAGGCAGAGCTTCAGTCCCAAGATCTGACAAAGCTGCAGTTACCAGTACAGGAACCACCCCAACAGCAGTCAGCTCCTCGGGTTAAGCAGCCAGCACTTGCCCAGGCTCCCCCTCAAGCCTACACTGAGGCTTATATAAAGGCACAGGCCCTGGTTAGGGATAGATTTGAGGAAGCCAAGCACTGTCTTCAAGAGCACATTATAGAAGCTATCAATGTATTCAAGGACAAGAGAATGATGGACGAACAGGCATCAGTTAAGGAGGTTTGTCCATTTTAGACACTAGTTAGTTTGTTTGTTTTTTGGCTGTTTGCAACAGAGCCCAGTATCATTAAACTATATTGTTGTGTCTGTATGTTTTATAAGAGATTGTGGTTAATTTTCCCAAGTGTCTGTTTGGTTTTTGTTTCTTTTTTAGGAGACGCTTCGGACTCTTGACCCTGAACTTCTTGAAGAGTTCTTGAGGGCTGCGGAAGGGATGGAAGCTTTCTGCACCCCATCTGAACTTAGAGACATGGAGTTTTTCACACAATCTGTTAGAACACAGTGGAAGGTATCGGTGTAGTAATATTAGTGCTTGTTTGTTTATATCTGCAGTGTGACTTTATTTTTATTTTTGATACTAACTGAAATGCTCTACACTGTATTAAACTGATTGAATGTGAAGTTACAAATATTAAGAGGTTGTGTGCTTGCTGTTGTTTTTTTTATTTTATTAATATTTTTAGGATGTTCGAGTGCAAATATCAGAATTTTTGAAGCAACTCAGATTTGAGTTAACCTGCCTGCATTTTAACCATATGGTTAAGACATGTGAGATACACTTTAAGAAGGAAAAACTCAACCATAGGCCTGAATCAATATCAGAATCAAAAGAAGAGGTAAAATTACAGCTACCCTAATCGCGGAGCATGAACAGTCATATGGACAAATGGGTGTGGGAATGAACTTCTCTTAGCTATATTTTATTTCATCCTTTGTTTTCTAAACTAAACATTTGCTTTTGGGGTCAATTAATCCCTTAATTTCTTGTTCTTGTCTTTCCTCTTAACCACATCACTCACTTGGCACATGACACAACTTTATTTTTATTTTTATTTAAAAATACTGCAAAATAAAACAAAACTGCAAAGTAAAGAAATTACAGTATCATTAAATAGTAACAGTAAATAAATAAAAGGATAAATGATAAAAAGAAAATGTGAGTAAAAATAACAAAAAATATATATATCTGTAGGTTTAGTTTTTTCTCTCTCTCTCTTCCTGCAGGCTTGTTTGTCTGCAGAAGGCAGTCTGGCAGAGGCAGGACAGCAGCTAGAATCTCTGAAGGAGTTGTGTGATACTCTTAGCCCTGAGGACGCACACAGGCTCGCACAAGCCCAACTTAGAGAATGTGAGAGACGACTTGCTGCCATTCAGCGGCAGTTCAGTGGAGACACAGATACACCTCCTTCAGACACTAGGTAACAGAAAGTGAAAGAGCCTCTCTCATATCACTTAATTTTATCTGATAAAACCATTTATAAATTCATAAATTTATTTATTTTCAATGTCTAATAGTTTACAAATAGAGCAAACAAAAGAGCCACCCAATCAAAAAGCACCAACAGTCCCACCACCACCTGAGAAGCCCAAAGAGGTTATTGTTTCAGAGGTACAAATATATGATCATTTTATAGAACTTATGTTTTAAAATAAACTTCATATTATTTTATCTAAAAATCTTTGGTACATTTTGTTTTAGGCTGTTACACCGATTAGCCCCCAGCGACCGAGAACTGTGGAGAAGAGAGAGATAGTGAAACAAACGAGTACAGAAGAGGACAGGTATGGATATAAAAAAGGAATAGCATAGCTATGTGTTTCTGTATAAGATTGTGTGTGATATTGTTTCAGAATCATATGGTTTACATCTTTTTCTTGGTCTGCTCAGGTACCGCAGCTCCAGATTTGCATTACAGGCTCAGCTAAACAGAAATGAGCAATGCATGCTTGGAGATCGTACCTCAGAATCAGTCACTCCCACAGACCTGCAGAAACGACTGAGAGAATTAAAGGTAATGCACAGTGTTTTGTGTTTTAAAGTTGGCCATTTGATATTATTATTATGCATTTTCAAATGACAATTACTTTAAAATTAAAAATCTTTTTTGTCTGTTTAAGTCTCTGTGGGACGAGACAGAGTCTCTGTGGAAGGAGTATGAAGCGTTGTGTATGCAATGTGTTCAGTACAACGAACGAGCTGTTGAGCAGGACCGTATGGAGCTCACTGTCAGGTGGAGAGAGCAGAGGTCACAGTTACAGGGCAGGTATGACCATGTCAGACATGACATTACACTGACTTTCAGGGTAGTATAAGCTTTAATGTGTGTTTAAAACTACCGAGCTGAAATTAATATTCAAATAAAAGCATATTACTACTTCTTTTGTTCACTTTCACCCTGTGCCACCCAAAGAATCATATGATCTGCTCAAATCCTGTAACCAGACTGTGAGTGTGTGTGTGTGTGTGTGTGTGTGTGTGTGTGTCTTGTGTTGTTTGTTAAATAAGTCTATGCATTCTGTCAGGGTGGATTCACTGGGAGCAGCACTTGAGCTCATGGACTCTATTAAGCTGAAGATCTCTGAGATTTCTAAAAGGCTGGAAAATTTCATCAAAGAGCCCAAGGACATTAAGGGAGATACACTAGCTAACCCTGCCATTTTGAGAGATGTGAAGGTGAGAGATATTTATATTTATTAATTAAACGTATTTCTTATTTAGTTCTATTCATGGTTAACATTTGTAATGGAGACACAAATGTTATTTTATTTTGTTAAAATATATAATATATAATACCTGAGAGAAGAATGTTTGATGTACTGCATTTCATGCTAATTTTAACTGCATTTAGTGGTAATTTTACTGTATGTAACTAAGCTCTTTGCCTCTATCCCAATTTTTTATCAAAATATTTACCACTCCCTCTTATTTTCAGGACTTAGATGAAAGTATCCAGACAGAGATGGATCATCTGTCTCGATTCGACTCTGAGCCCAGTCATCTAGACTTGCGTGACCGATCACCTCTGACCCAGGTGGTTCTGAACCACAGATCCAGCCTGGACCAGCTCAGGCAACAGGTGCGCAAGAGTGACGCCGCTGCCCGTGCCCTCGACCGCTTCCTCATGTCCCTGCGCACTGTGGAGCTCGATGTCTCTTCTGTGCAAAGCGCCCCCAGCAATGATGCTGTTGTACTGCAGGACAGCAGGTCCAAGCTGACACTAATCAGAAAGGGAGTCAGCAGCCTCAAGGATAAGGCTCCACAGCTGGACCAGCTCTTGGGCGGAGCACAGCTCAAAGTGACCCAGGACAGGAGCCCTGTTTCCTGTCTGGACATGGTGGGGGTACTGGTTCACAGGGTGGAAGAGGCAGACGATCAACTGATGATTCAACAGAATGAGCTCCAGAAGGAACAGCAGAACCAGAGCCTCGGTCTAAGGAGGAAGACTATCCAGGCTGAGCTAAGGAAGGTGCTGGCGGCAGCAGAAAAACAGGGTCTAAAGGAAACCACTATGCCAGCTGTGCAACATCGGTAATGATCTTTCTTCCCTATATAGATGTCATGATACAGATGCTTTAGACTTAGAATTGTCTTTATTTGGGCTTAATTTTAATTTGAGTTAATTGAGATAAGATGAGTTAATTGAGAATGTGATACAATTCATTTATAGAATATAAATGTTTTTTTTTCTTCTATTTTTCAAGTTTTTAAAATTTTTCAAGTTGACTTACAGTAACTGCCAATGTCAAGCTCCAAAAAAATGGTATGTTATGTCTATGTGTTCTCCTTCACTCTTTTAACACTGTGTTTGCATCTATGTTTAGGATGCGAGCACTGTCCGATCTGGAATCGCAACTGAACTCTCTTCGTCCTGAATACCAAAGCATCAAGAAGGCTCTGTCTGAAGTCTCTCCACAGAAAGAGCACCCTCATCCAGCAAATGAAGAGCTTGACTTCCTTTGGGAAGAGACTGAAAGAGCTGTATCTGACAGGTGGTTTCTAGACCTAAGTTGAGATTTACTTTGATTTAATTCACCTATTTTTCTTTCGTAAAGGGTTCGTTTCCTCAAAATGAAAAATCTATCCTCATTTATTTACCCTCAAGTTGTTCCAAACCTGTATTGATTTCTTTCTTCTGTTGAATGCAAAGGTGTTTTGAAGAATGTGGGTAACTAAACACTATGAAAGTCAATGGGGACCAGAAACTGTTTGGTTACCCACATTCAGGAGAAGGAAGTTCAAGTGTGATTGACAGAAACCCAGAATGTTGCTCTGTGTATGTGTGTGTTTGACAGACAAGAGCAGTGCACTGTTCTTATGGAACTCCTGAAGAAATTTCAGAACTGTCGCAGTTACCTGGGCAACACTCTCCAGAGGGCGGAGCAAACAATCAATGAGCAGGCTTCATACATGGGCAAAGACAACCTACAGCGACTCCTTGCAAAAGTAAGTCAACTTCAGACTAATCACAATACATACTAATGTTATAATTGCCTATTGTAATTTACCATCAGGTTTCTTTCACAGAAAGGTAATTTTATACTGGATTTGCACCACCAGGGGTCAGTCATTACTCAGATATTACAATCCAGATGCAGATGCAGATGCACAGTAGAGCTCAGTGTGAAGCAGTTTTATTTGAAATTCATCCTGTAATTGAATTTTGTATCAGCACTAATCACAGTTTGCTTCATCTGCATGTACAGAAAGGGCTTCACATGTCTTAGTCTCAAAGAGGCTTCTATTTCCTTTTTTGTTCTGACAAATCAGTGCCAATGTTCTATTAAAGGGTTAGTTCACGCAAAAATGAAAATTAGTCCATGTTTTACTCACCCTCGAGGCATCCTAGGTGTATATGACTTTCTTCTTTCAGATGAATCCAGTCGGAGTTATATTAAATATTGTCCTGGTTATTCTAAGCTCTATCATTGCAGTCAGCAGGTGTTGCAGTTGAACAGTCCACAAGTTGTCAAATAAAGCTTGTGCATTCATAATAAAACGTGCCTCACACGGCTCCAGGGGGTGAATAAAGGCCTCCTGTAGTGAATCCATGTGTTTTTGTAAGAAAAATATCCATATTTTAAACGTAATAAACACTTTTCTCTCACTTCCGGTTTCTGTCATACGCGGAAGCAGTTGCGGCGGATGACGTAGGACGTTGGTGTTGCGTGATTAGTTATGAATGAGGAAAGAGAACAAAACAAAACGCCGGTCACGAATTAAAAGTACAAACCGAGAATTAGTAAAGAAAATGCATATGTCCTACGTCATCTGCAGGAACGGCTTCCGCGTATGACAGATACCGGAAGTGAGAGAAAAGTGTTTATTACATTTGAAATATGGATATTTTTCTTACAAAAACACATGGATTCGCTACAGGAGGCCTTTATTCAACCCCCGGAGCCATGTGAGGCACGTTTTATTATGGATGCGAGTGCTTTATTTGACGACTCATGGACTGTTCAACTGCAACACCTGCTGACTGCAATAATAGAGCTTAGAATAACCAGGACGATTTTTTATATAACTCCGACTGGATTTGTCTGAAAGAAGAAATTCATATACACCTAGGATGCTTTGAGGGTGAGTAAAAACACAGGCTAATTTTCATTTTTGGGTGAACTAACCCTTTAATCTTAATTCATTTTCATTTTTAAAATTAATTTTAATATTTGGGCAGATCCTCCATGGAGTGCAGTACATTTATTTGCAGAGTTATGACGAATTAAACTTGTAGTAGTTTATTATCATTGTGTAGTCTACATTTAAGTACCAATAGTAGTAATAAGTGCTCATGTTAAAAGGCAGGATTAAGTTCAAGTTCAAGTTGAGCTTTATTGTCATTCTGCTACATGTGGGGACATACAGTGGACCGAAATGTCGTGCCTCACAGGACCACGGTGCTACATAAATACAGGCATAAAACAATGAAGTAAAACAGTAAAACCTATACACAACTAGCCTACTGACTGATTTTGACTATAAATATATATACAGTGGGGCAAAAAAGTATTTTATATATATATATAAATGTTTACCTATACATAAATTTAAATAATACAAACTATACGAATGCTTCACATAAACACTGTACCTATACACAACTAACCTACTGACAGATTTTGACTATGAATATACTATATATAAATGTTTACCTATACATAAATTAAAAAAATACATACTATACGTATGCTTCACATAAAAATGTACATGTGCAAAGAGAAACATCGTAAGTCAAGCAGCTGGCTGGGGAACATTGCAAGATGATTTGTAGTGCATGAGCATGTAAACACACATATTACGGAGTCTTTTGTGGGATTATGTACACACAGTAGTGTGTGTGAAAAGTGTCTAGTGCGTATAGAGGAGAGTGTGTTAAAAAAAATCAACAACATTAAAAACGTCTAGTTATGTCTTCCTAGAAAGAGTAGCTTAGATCTTTAACCATGAGACTACCTATTTTTTCTGTTTTATCTCATAATGTTTCTAATAATGTTTCTGTCTGTATATTGTAGGTCGTTGGCATAAAGGAGGATCTTAATAGCCTCGGATCCAAGATGGAGGAGTTCAGATCTGTGTGCAGACAGTTGCAGTCCCAGCTAAAGAAAATTCCTGATTGCTCGGAAACTCCATTTGAGACAGAGGCAGATGCTTTGGTGGACTCATGGCTGGATGTGAGGATATGGAAAACATCTATTCACATGGATCTCATTTTGTTCAGTCATTTTAGTTTCTTGGTAAATCTGTGTGTCTCTCTGGCAGGTGTCAGAGAAGACAGACAGTTGCATGGATAACCTGCGTGTGGGTCTGGAGTTGTGGGAGAAACAGCTGGTTCTGGGTGGAGAAGTGGACAGCTGGACTTCTACTAAACTCATTATCTTCTCAGAGTCTCACCCTTTCAGCAGTGAAACGGAGGTTGACAGCATGAAGGTGTGTCTTCAAAAAAAATTATCTGCCTTGAAAGGATCCACAATGTTCACAGGAATGGACTTAAAGGCACAGTACTGTCAGTCCATTGGGTCTTTTGTGTGTTTATTAGAATGAGATTCAGTGCCAGGAGGACAACCTTGAACACTTCCACAGGAAGTTACTGGAGATCCAGGAACTGCTGCAGAGCAAAGAATCTCCTCTTGAGTTACAGGTAAACGTGCAGCATATTTTTTTCCGTTTATTAATTGCTAATTATTCCTAACTTTAAATGCACACACACACTCTCTGTCTTAGGTAATGGAAACCAACCTGAGGAAGAAAATGGAGCAGGTGAAGGAACTCTTCTGTGACTGCACTGAAGTGTTCCAGGAGCTCCTCACAGTTAAAGCTCATATGATAGAAAAGATTGACACCTACCAATCATCTGTGAAGAATATACGCTCCTCAGTAGACATGATCAGTTCAGAGGATCGCGCAGAACTGGATGCGCATTTACAGGTATGATTAACAGACATACAGACATGCGTAGCACACTGTTTTAATATATAACCAATTTTATTTTATGTTTGTAGGACTTGTGTGAGCAGCTTTTGGACCAGGAGGAGCAGGCTGAAACTTTGCTGAAGGAAATCAATCTCATGTCCAGCATTACTGGACCGCAGGCCTTGGAGGAGCTGACCAATCATAGTAAGCGTCTCAAAGACAGCATTGCGGAAACACGAGAGCTTATTCGCCAGAAGAAGGATCAAGGGGAGAAAAGCTTCCTTCAGACTATTAAAGGTCTGAGAAACTGCATTCTGCATTGTGTCATTGCTAAAATTAAACAAGTGAAAAAAGTGATTTGAGTTTTGACCATTTGTCCCACTGGATCTCTGCAGAAGAGTTTCAGTCATTTGAGGAATGGTTGCAAGATGAGCAGCTCTCTGTGAATGAGTGCTTTGAGAACCCTGAGAGGAAGCAGGATATAGAAACGTCCATGCAGAGACTGACAGTGAGTAACAGTGAAGTCCCAACCCTATGATTATGGTTTCCATTGTGGCTTAGGACATTTTGGAAATACTTTTTAGATAAAAAGACTTGCTGTATAATACACTGATTACATGGACAGCAATCTGATGGCAAGAGTCACCAGGTGATAGCAGCCTTAGTCAAAAGCATAATTATAGAATTAGAGGAAGGGTTCAAATTGAGTTCATCGGTACGGAACAGTTTGTGTTTTCTTCAGAGTTTCCTGGCCTCTAAGGAAGGAGAACAGCGTCTGGCTCAGTTGAAAGAGAGGTTTGAGCAAGGGGGACAGGCAAAGCTCCCTGCTGAGGCTCAAGCTTTGCTCTCCACATGGCATCAGGAACAGGAAGGAGAACTGGCCACACTCAGGGCTCACTGCCAGGGACGCCATAAACAGCTAGATGATATCCTCCACAACCTCAACAGGTACATGGAAGAAGTTCTCATCATAGCTATTAGTTGTTACTTTTGTTTTGATTCATTCATGACTTTGTCTTTAGTTTGCATGAGGAACATAACCATTTGAAGGACTGGCTGCAGCAGAGAGAGCAAGTGCCAGAACAGAGAGAAAAACTGAGGCAAATCCAAGAGGATTTTCTTAAAGAAAGGTACCACTCACTATTCAATGTAAATAAACACAGTGCCAGACTTCATTATTGACTAAAATGCAGATAAGCCATATCGCAACTTCAGTTTTATTTTGATTAATTGTGCAGTCTTTTATTTCATGTAAAACCTACATAACTCCTACTTTCACCCTTAATCCACAGCGGTCGTGTGGAGGCATTCAATGACCTGTTATCTGCTGTAAGGATGCGTGGCCTGAGGGGAGACCCTCTCCTTGGAGACTGCGAGACCCTGATAGACCGATACCACAGCCTGGGAATTATTTTGGAGAATCAGGCACAAGTCCATAAGACCCTTGATGATCAAATTGAAACATTCCAAACCAATGCAGAACAGATCAGAGCATGGATCAGAAATTTAAAGCAAAGACTTGAGTACTTGGGGACAGACACGCCAATGCAGGAAAAACATGTAAATGCTCAGGTGGGCCCACTAACCCTCATTGTTTGGATTCTTTAGCTGTATTTTAGGGGAACGACTGGTTAAGCATCTTTAGCTGAATGGAATGAGGAATATCCTCAGTGTATTTAGAATCAAATTCATTTTATTCTGTGTTTTAAGGCTGTTCTTAATCTAAGTCCTGAGGGTGATGCTAAACTCATGGCTCTGAAAGAAGAGGGTGATGCTTTATGTGCTCATGAGATTTTGGAGGACACCAGAAGACAGGAGCTCATTCACACCCTTGAAAACACTGAAGATGAGTGGAAAAGAGTTCTGGATATGGCTCAGCAGCTAAAACATCAAGCAGAACTCCAAGACACTCTCTGTAGAGAACTAGAGGATCTACAGGCCCAGGAGGAAAGCATCCAGTCCTGGGTGAGAGAACAACTGCAAATGCTTCGCTCTTTGGGGAAGGACCTTCAGCCACATGAAAAACTTAATAAAGTGCAGGTAAAGACAGAGGGACATTTTTTTAATCTAAATCTTTTCATGGCTCTTGCATGATTCTAACCCAGATAAAACTGAGTAAAGGTTGCTAGCCGTGCACATATTGTGTGGGGAGTAATGTCTGTATATCCTCTAGGCTGTCATAGACCTTGGTGATGAAGCCGATTCCAGATTGGCCAGTTTACAGAGACAAGGACAACATTTATGTTCTTGTAAAAATCTTGAGAATGAGAGGAGGAGCCACATTGACCAAACCCAGAGAGCAGTAGAGGAGGAGTGGAGGAAAGTGCTACAACTTGCCCAGGAGCTCAAGAACCAGGTCAAGCATGAGGAATCTCTCTACAAAGAGTTACAAACTTTCTGTGATCAGGGAGAGGACACTCGATCCTGGATTAGACATCTCAGAGAGACCCTGGATTCCCTTCTTGTGACATCTTCCATTCAAGAGAGGCTTAATGGAGCTGAGGTAATAGAGAGGAAAATTTAACCCTTAAATGTTTGTACATGAAAGGCTTGGGAAGGGACAATGAGTAAGCCTAATTTATGAGAAACTATAATATTGAAAATGGGGCAAGTACTCAGGTTCACTCTAAAGGCATACATTCGATTACATCAAATAGCTAAAAACTGTAGCCAACACAACACTTTCAACGCATTCAAAATGTGAGGCTACATAAATATGATTTGTACATGAAGTGAAGGGACAGGTCTTATTCCTTAGTTAAAAAACAAGGCCATACTTTCTGGAGCCGTAAATATTTACTGAAAACCAGTGAAGAGGCTTTGATGGGTTGCACTACTGCATGAAGAATTAAAGCATGACAGAAATTACAGTTTAGATGAATGTCTTGGCTTTGTTTTGTTTTTAGGCACTATTAGCTCATAGATCTGAGTGGGACTATAAACTTTCTAACCTAAAGACGAAGGGAGAGAATCTATGTTCCTGTGAAGACCTAGATGAGGACAAATGTCAGACAATCCAACACACATTACAAAATGTACAGCAAGAGTGGATGGGAGTTTTGATGCAGACTCAGGAACTGAAGAACCAATCAGAACTTGAGCAGTCTCTTTCTAAGGATCTTCAAGAACAGGAGGAGAGCACACACTCTTGGCTTACAGAGCAGCATCTGAAGATCGAATTGCTCGGTGAAGAGACTCAGTTACAAGAGAGAATGAATGGAGCTCAGGTAAGAGACAGAGTGATATTCAGCCTTCACCAGATATTCTTTAAATACTTAAAGAAAACAGTCTGACCCACTCACTGACATGGTTTGCTTATTCTAGGCCATCCTGAACTCAGAATCAGAGGGGGATTACAAGCTAGCCAACCTGAGGAGGAAAGCAGAGGGTTTGTGCTCTCGAGAAGGCCAGGAGGAGAAAAGAAAACAGGAAATCCAGCTGAACCTGAGATTAATTGAAGAAGAATGGAAGAAGGTCCTGGCAAGTGCTCAAGAATTAAAGAACCAGGCTGAGCTCCAGGATTCTCTTGCAATGGAGCTTCAGAATGTCTGTACCCAGGAGGAGAGCACCTGGACCTGGGTGAAGAACCAGAAAGATTGCATGGACTCACTGGAAAAAAGTACTCATGGTACACAGGAGCAGATTGAAGAGAGACTAAGCAAAGCACAAGTAAGTAGTACAATATGGAGAAACAGAAGAAGAAATTAAATGTCTGTAGTAAAACACTTAAAATAACTCTCTGTCTTTCAGGCAATTCTAAGTCTGCACTCTGAGGGCAACTCTAAGATTGCAGCCCTGAAACAGACTGTAGACCATCTTTTTAACCGTGAAGATCTTAATGTAGATGCAAGACATTCTTTTGTTAAGAAAATGAAAAATGTAGAGGAGGAGTGGAAGACAACTCTGCAGCAAGCACAGGAGCTTCATAGGTTTGATATGACAATTTTGTATGTAAAAAATAATTGCAAACAGCACTGCTAGATGATTCAAATTAATTGCAAATTATCATATTTATAAATATATTCTGAGATTAATTGAACGGACATAGCTTTTTATGTACAGATCAGGGTGCATAATTAAATGCAATTTTTTATGTGTATAAAAGTATATCTTTAATTTTATATGATATTATATGTTATGTTATGTTATTCCTCATTCTGCAGTCTGCTGAAAAGTGTAGTGGAACGTCTGGTGTCCTGTCGGTGTCAGAAGGAACAGCTTCAGTCTCGTCTGGATCAGGTGAAACAGCAAAGAGCTGCACTGCCATGGCACTTCCCCTGGCCTGGTTTAGGGGATCGAAGGCACACATTGGAGCAAGCCAAGAGTCTGCTAGACAGTACCAGAGCCCTGACCCCATCTCTGTCTGCTGTCCGAGCGCTCGGGAGGGAGATGAGCCAGCTGACCCATGATTCCAGCTGGATTGATCCATCCTGGGCCACCACAGAGGAGTGCATACCTGAGTTAATCAAAGATCTTACGGTAAGGCTATATAGGTGTGCTGTTCTAAATATTTCTGACTAATCGTGACTAATAGAAAATAGAAACTTGATTTATGTGTATGACATTCTTTTTTTATGTGTGCTTCTGAAGGAGTTTTGTGTAAATCTCGAAGAGGAAATCCGGAGAGAGCGAATTTGTGCTCAGTTAGTTGAGCAGCACACTGTAGCACAGGATTGGCTGAGAGAGCAAGTCAAAGGTTTCGGTGCTCTGCCCACTGAACGTCATGGGTTACAAAGCTCTATTAACACTCTTAAGGTCTATTTAAATTCTTTGTTTTATATAAAATCGATTTACCAATTTTTCTGTTTTTCGTCAAACCTGTTAATAAATACAATTATATATATTTTTATTATAATTGTGTAGGCTCTTCTTCAGACCATAGACAGGGAGAAGAGAGAAATGAAAGAACTGGATACTGTTAAAGATTCCCTGATGGATCTTTGCACTCCAGGAGGTTGTGATGCCCTGACCTTAGAGGTCAGCCATCTTCATGACCTCTGTGTGTCCTCGGAGAAAGAGATGAGGGAATGGTTAGCTGTGTGTGAGGCCAGATTGAGTGACATTGACCTCAGGCTTGCTGGCAGGGAACAGATTCTCAGGGAGCAAGCAGAGAGTCTCCTAGATGAGCTGCGTGCTCAGGACCTCTCTTTAGGATTTCTGGTGGATAGCCAGAATATCAGCCAGCTACAGGAAAACTGGCATAGCTTCAAGGTATTGTGGGAAAATATTAATTCATATATGTTCAGTTTGTTTGTTCTGAAACTTTAGAGAAAGTCAATAAATTTAAACCTCACTGTTTTTATATTCTCATAGACATGTGAGAAAGAGCTTGAGTCTTTAGAGGGCAAAGTTCATGACCTTGGCCAGGCCCTCCAAATGGTCCCACCAGATGAGGGATCCCCCAGTGATGTCATTTCTATAGTGGACACAGTTACACAACAATATTGCAGGTACATACAGACATGTTGCCTTTCAAATTAATTAAATTATCATAAATGTCTGTAATAATGTGCTTAAATCTGAATCCTGTTTATTTAATTGTAAAATTGATAGCATGGTTGCCCAAAATAGTATAATGCTATATTATATTACAGTGTAATACTTATTTATCATAAGTGCGTTATGGAGAATCGTCATTATTTTTTTTCTCAGTCTGCGGTCTAAACTGTTGGAAAAGCAGAATAAGTGCGCAGACAGCACTGTGCAGTGTGTGAGACAGGCCTTACAAAACATACAGTCATGGAACCAGACACATGCAAATCCTCCCTGCAGCTCAGCCACATCCATGCAGGTGTGTTTGTATCTTAATTTGCATAAATTATGTGAGTGAGTACACAACAAAACATAGCACCTGCACCATACTGGTCCATTTGAACGAGTAAGGTTGCTGTTGCCTTTTAAACATGCAACATTTTACTCCTTAGGCTGCAATTGAGGAAGGTGTGAGACTGTGTAAAAGCCTGCAGGTAGTGCTGTCCCATAAAGAACTGCTGAGGGAATGTCTGGGCCCTGACTTGGCTGGCAAACTTGAAAGAGATGGAACAAAAGCACTAAACGAAGCAGACATTCACATGAACGACCTTAAACAGGAGCTTAAGGTAAGTATGACTCTGTGGGATGATGCTTTACATGAGATGTCTAGTGGTTTAAAAAGATGAGTCTGTGTTTCAGAATGTGGAGGAGAACGTGAAGCAGGAAGCTCAGATGTTGTCACTGGAAGCTCAAAGCATTCAGCTGGATTCACAGGTACAATTTCACAAACATACATATTAACATACAAACATATTTCTAGGCTTTTGTTGTATCTGGCCATTATGTGCAGTACTATGTATATATGATAAATACCATTTGTAGGTTTCTGCTGCGACACCATCAACAAAGGAGTCGGAATTTGTTTCTTCTTCATCGTTTATCACGGAGAGCTTTGAAATGGCAGATGACAGTCAGCAGGCTAAGGTACAACCATCTGAAAACCTTGACAGCGAGATCCCTCTATGTGTAATCTCAGAAACTACAACTGAAACAGAAATTCACACTGCCAGAAAACCACGACAAACATTAGAGACTGAAACTGAACAGATTGATTTCCAAACAACTGTACTATTAACCACAGAGATGCTACCTGAACCAGCAACAGGAGTATATGAATCTGCTCTTCCTACAAGCAGCCATGGTGCAAATGAAACTGAAAGTGAGAATTTTGTTTCTGTTTCTTTGGAAACAAAGTCTGATAATGATGAGATTGCAGATGAAAAGATGCCCGTTTCTTCATCTGCAGCTGTCCACACCTTGGAAACCACAGTACAAGACACAGACTTGGAATTACTCAGCACTGAGAGTCTTAGCACAGAAGGACAAGTAAGCCAGTTGTCTGATGTAATTGTGAGTTCAGAATCTTTTGCTGATAGAGCGGAGGGTGAGAAAATTGAAGCAGTGACTGCAGAGCCAGATAAAGAGGAAGATGTCTCATATATTTCACTTTCTCAAGAGGAACCTTGTGGAGAAGGTAAAGCACAGACCAAAAAGGTTACTGCGCTCATTTTAGATTTGGATACAGTGCACATAGATAGTGTAGACACATACTCCCACACACCCACAGATGGCGCTACAGTGAAAGCAGCCTCTGCTAGTGCTCTTTTAAATGAGATGACACTGGGAAAACAAGATCATGAAACACTGGCCCCTCCAGAAGCTGAAATTTCTGAAGTAGCCATAGAACTAATTAGCATCCCATCTTCTCTTAATGAGCCAAGTATGGTGAATGTTTCAGAAATTAGTTCAGCAGTAGAACCAGAACAGTCACAGCTAATCAATATAGACACTAATGGACAAATGCAAACAACAGCAGCTCCACCTTCTGAAACACAAGGTAGTGAAGACGCTGCTTCCAGAGGTATTGGAACATTTTCTTGGAACAATGGACCAAATGCTGCAATTGCTGACAGAGAGAGCAACTGGACAACAAATAATGGCCCTCGTGAAATCCAACGCCGATATATTATTCTAGACTTCCATGAGGGGGAGGAAATGCAGAGACATCATGCTCATGAAGCTTCTCTTTTCAGGGAACCCACTGAGAGACAGATTCAGGGATCAGAACATTCAGTATCAGAAAGAATGGAGACAGAATGTGATGCTAAAACGGAATCAGAGGTCATAGCCAGTACAAACAGACCTTTAGAAGCATCCGAGCAATCTGAACTGGTTGAAGCAAGCCTAAAACTACCAACAAGGCAAGTTGGAGAAGTCATGCATTTAATTGTAGAAGAAGAGACAAAGAAGACCCCATCAGGTGATAAAATGCAATTAATAGAAGTTGATCCTAAACGTAAACCTCCAATCAAGCAACAAAATGAGGTAGAAACTGAGGTCCAACAAACAAGCAAAGTGCATGTCTCAACAACAGTAGAGGAGAAACCTGAAGGTGAAGAAGCCATTGACATCATTTTGGGAGAAGAGACCAAGACCCAATCAGATGGTAAAGCACAATCCAAAGAAATTGAACCTGAACAGACACCTCCAATCAAGCACCTGGTTGACTGGGACACTGAGGTACAACCTGAAAGAATTAATGTCTCATTAACACCAGAGGAGAAACCTGAAGTTGTAGAAGCCGCTGATGTGATTGTAGAAGAAGAGATGAACAAGACCCCATCAGGTGAAAAAGCACAATTCATGGAATATGAACCTAAAATGACACCTCCTCTTAGGAGAAATGACAATAAAACTGATGTCCAGTCAAACAAGGTAAATGTCTCAACACAAAAGGAGAAAGATGAAGAGGCTGTGGAAGTCAATGTAGAAGAGGAGACAAAGACAACATCATCAGATAATAAAGCACAATCCATAGAAGCTGAACCTGAACTGACACCTTCAATCAAACAACAGAATGACCAGAAAACTGAGGTCCAGTCAGACAAGGTGGATGTATTGCCAGAGGAGAAAATTGAATTTGAAGAAGCCTTGCATGTCATTGAGGAACAGAATGACTGGGACACCGAGGTACAGTCTAAAAGAATTAATGTTCCACTGACACCAAAGGAAATACATGAAGTTGTAGACACCGCAGATGTCATTGTAGAAGAAGAGACAAACAAGACCCCATCAGATGAAAAAGCACATTCCATAGAAGCTGAACCTAAACCGACACCACCAGTCAGGCGAAGAAACGAAAATAAGTTTGATGTCCAATCAAACAAGGTGAATATCTCAACAACATCAGAGAAGAAACCTGAAGGTACAGAGGTTACCACTGTCATTGTGGAAGATGAGATAAAGATGACTCCATCAGATGATAAAGCACAATCCCTAGAAGTGGAAACTATACTGACACCACCAGTCAGGCAACAAAATGAGGGTGAAACCGATGTCCAATCAAACCAGGTAAAACTGTCAACAACATCAGAGAAAAAACCTGGGGATACCATGCATGTCTCTGAGGAGGCATTGGTTGATAAAATGCAGTCCATAGAAGCTGAGCCTAAACCAACGCCACCAGTCAGAAGACGAAATGAGGGTGAAACTGAGGTTCAATTAGATAAGGTGGATGTCATACCAACACCTCCCACCAGACGACGTAAAGGCGAAAGGTTATCGTTAGATACTGAATCACAGATAGAGGGAGAAGTTCTTTCCACCCCACCAAGCAGAAGACATAGAGAGAAAATAGGAATTGAGAGGTATTCACTTGATTTAGAGTCCCAACCCACACCACCAGCAAGACGACGTAAAGAAAAAGAAGATAGAAGATTATCACTCGATCTGGAGACCCAACCCACGCCACCAGTGAGACGACGTAAAGAAAAAGAAGGTAGTAAACTATCACTCAATCTGGAGACCGAACCCACACCACCAGTGAGACGACATAAAGAAAAAGAAGGTAGTAAATTATCACTCAATCTAGAAACCGAACCCACACCACCAGTGAGACGGCGTAAAGAAAAAGAAGAAAATAGATTATCGTTCAATCTGGAGACTGAACCCACACCACCAGCAAGACGACGTAAAGAAAAAGAAGGTAGTAAATTATCGCTCAATCTGGAGACTGAATCTACACCACCAGCAAGACGGTGTAAAGAAAAAGAAGAAAGTACATTATCACTTGATCTAGAGACCCAACCCACACCACCAGCAAGACGACGTAAAGAAAAAGGTGAAGATAAAGGATTATCAATTGATCAGGATCCTCAACCAACTCCACCATCAAGAAGACACAAGGATAAGCCAGAGAGTGACATGTTATTTTACAGTGCTGAATTAGGAAAAAGTGATAATCAGCAAACCAGTGAACATAAAGACAGGGAAGAGCACACTGTTAAACCAACTCCACCTGTCAGATGCAAAATTAGTCAGGTTAAAAGTGATGTGGCAGTTTGCAAAAACCAAGAAGAGAAAGAGTCCTTTGTGAAACCCACACCACCAACAAGAAGGAAAGATAGCAAAGTTGAGAGTGAAATTGTCGCAGGTGCTAACCTGAAAGAAGATACGAGCATACATAAACCAACTCCACCTCTGAGGCGAAAAGACAGCCAAGCAGAAACTGAGATGGCTCGAACCACACCTAAAAGTCAACCTGAGGAAGTCCTTCCAACTCCACCGACCAGGCAAAGGAAAGATCAAATAGAAGCTGACAGAGTTCCATTAATGCCAGAAGAGCCACATGACAGTGTTCCATTAATGCCAGAAGAGCCACAGGTCATATCAACTCCAACAACCAGTGACAAAGGAAGTTCATGGAATGAAAAGGTTTCTATGTGTGCAAGACTGGAATTGGAAGCAGATGTTGAAGCAATAACTAAACAGGAAGATAAAGATGAGTCTGATACAAAGTCATTGGTTGGTCAGGAGCAGCAAGAGGAGGGGAAGGACTCTACTTTGGTCCCAGAACCCATAAGTGCAATCAGTCAGACAGAGAGCGTCAGTGAGATGCAGGTAACTTTAATGTGCATGATTGCACCAAAAGGAACAAACCTGCATGAGGTATGATGGTGTGGTTTGTATCTGCATGCTGGACTGTAATGGAAGTGTTCAACTGAGGATGTGTGTTAGGGCCAAAATGAAGTGTCCTTAAGATATCTGGATATTTGCTTTGTAGGGTAAAATGAATCCCCTTTTTTGCAACAGTCCAATTGTCTACATTTCCAAACACAGCTAACACATTAGGTTTTAACTCTAATGGAAGAAGAAATCTTCTAACAATTAACACCTGGAGCTCCTGAATAACCCTCCTATTTGTATCTTTATATGTTGGTGTGGCTCTGGCTGCCTTACCACAGAGAAAATCCCATCACATTCAGCTCCATGCATACAGTCATTACTGATCTCTATCAATGAATAAATACTCTTTCATTCTTTTAATATTGTTATGTTCACAGAGAGGGCATAAGAGGGCAAATTTTTTCGGTTCCATCAACTCTTCCTTATGGCACTGTGAATGTTGGGAATGGCTTTCTGAGTTTTAATTTGTGTTTTTACCCATGATTGAGTTTGCTTGAATTTACTTCATTAACTGCTCTAATATCTCAGTTATTTGTCTAGAATCGTTTATCCTGTATATGAGATGTTGCAGTTGCTAGTCTTCAGTTCTGCTAATTTTTTGTGTGTTGCAGCCACAAGATCAAGATGTGGATGTTTCTCCCCAAGTTGGTCTTGCGGCTGAAATCACTGAGAGTCAAGCAGAGGAAGATAGGGAGCCAGAGGGACCCACAATGAAGGATATATTTATGGATATCAAAAAAATGACTGAAAAGGGACCAAAAAGTGTACTCATGGAGGTAATATTTTAAATTGTTAACACTATAACATTAAATTAAAAATACTGAAAGTGATTTAAACAGTGTCAAGACATACGTTTAAAATAAACATGAACAAAAATTATATGTGCAGTATGTCAACTGTTCTTTCAAAAAGCTTATTTTTTTTAGGGTATACCTCATGAAAGTACAAAGAAACTTCTTGACACTTCCAGCACTGATCTTGAAGCTCGGTTAAAAAGGCTAGTGTTCCATTTACTGGACCTTCGAACTTGCCCAGCTGCTCTGAACTCCAAAGACATGGCCAAACAACTAGAAGAGGCTGAGGTGGGACAACCCAATAAAAATATTAGTGTGTGATGAACTTACACTTTACGTATTACTGATTGTTCTGTGTCCTCTTGCCTATTAATATGTAAAAGTAGTGTTGCTGATTTTTCAAATAATCATTTATATTAGAATCCTGATTTATGTTCGGAGGTGAGCACATTTAGTACTTGTATTGTTATGTTATTTTAGGAATCTAGAAGGTGTGCCCAGAGACAGGTATCTATGCTGTCTAGGCAAGACCAGGCTAATGGAGACATTGGCAGTGGCACTAATGGCACAGTTCATGACCCTGAGGGTATGCAACAGCTGAGTGCCCAGTGGAGTGCAGCTTTGTGGGATGCAGCAAGCTCTGTTCACTCCAAAGAAGCTCAACTACAGATGGTTGCAGATTTCAACAGACAGACCCAGAAAGTCAAAGCTATTCTGGAGAGACTCAAAATTGAGCGTGCGGCACTGAGATTGTACGTATTTACTACTAAGCAAGTTGTTTCTGTACGTATCACATTAAACACTGAGCAAGTTTATTGTTGCACTAAACTAGGGGTCGACCGATTATTGGTGCGATATTAAACATTTTTATGGTTATCGGTATTGGTTATTTTCAAAACTGATTTGCCGATAAAATAATTTAAAGGCATTTAAAGAGTCAATAGCTTTGTGGGCAGTGTGCCGACATGAAGCGCCTTTGCGCTACAGGCGTCTCGTGTTCAAATCCTGGCACAAAGGACCTTTCCCGATCCCGCCCCCCCTCTCTCTCCCACTTCGCTTCCTGTCTCATCTACACTGTCTTTTAACAATAAAAGACAAAAAACTCCAAAATAAATCTTTAAAAAAAGTAGGGCTGCCCTCGACTAAATATTTTTCTGGTCGATTAGTAGTCGTTCATTTTAAGCATTAGTCGACTATTATTCGCAGTTTTATTAATAAACCAAATAAATCATAATAATGAGCCTTTAATTGCCTACATAGCCTAATAAGCGCTCAAGCGCATGCAAAAAATGCTTGCCACAGCACACAGGCAAAAATAATAATTATGAATGTGTTAGGGAAAAACAGCAAGTACACAGCATTAACATTTTAATAATTTATTGTTACACTAGTGCTTTCTGTTTTTGGTTTAAGAGATGAAGTCGGCGACACTGACTCGTCATATCCGCAGTATGCGCCTGTATGCATGTTTCATACGGATTACATAATCTGATAATATTTGTTTTCTATTTGAATTGGTTCATTTAAAAGTTTCATTCTCTATAGATATATTTTTCATGTCTGTAATAAGGCAAGAATACATGAGTTTCGAAGTGTCACAGAGTCCGAGACGGCAGAAAGCGCATCCTGTTTGCTTTAAAGGGGTCATATGATGCGATTTCAATTTTTCCTTTCTCTTTGAAGTGTTACAAGCTCTGTAAAAAATACAAATAAAGAAGATCTGTAAAGTTGTAAAGACTAAAGTCTCAAATCCAAAGAGATATTCTTTATAAAAGTTAAGAGTCAACGACGCCTACCTAAAACGGCTCGTTCTAACAAGCACCCCCATATCTACGTCACTATGTGGGAAGATTTGCATAACGCCACCCTAATGTTCACGCAAAGAAAGAAGGCGTAACTTTTATTCTCGCTGTAGTATTGTTGCTGCCGCCATGTCGTGAAGGCACTGTGTGTTTCGTTGTGAAAGCGAAACTACTTTGTTTGGCCTTCCAAAAGAGGACGATATCCACTTCGTCATGCCTAGAGCTGATCCGTGCTGGTTGCTTAGGAAATACATCAACTTCGTGCTGTGGATCGTCGGATTGGCTTTCCCCGTGGACGAAGCGGAGTCTAGCCCGGGGTCGTCACATGTGGTTGCCGCAAGCCCGCCGCCGCTCACTCTAGGCTGCCGTGTGTGACGCTGTGTGTCTCGTTGTGGAAGCGAAACTACTTTGTTTGGCCTCAGAAGGCAGGGCATAGAGGAGAAACAATAATGTACAGTATGTGGAAAATAATGTGTTTTTTTAACCTTAAACCGCATAAACACATTTCATTACACAAAATAATGTTCTTTTTAGCAACATCATATGACCCCTTTAATTATTTTACAAAAGCGCAACGTTTCGTTGTTATTCTGAGTGCACACGAATAAACGTAGAGTCTTTACAGATACAAAAGATGCATTACTCTTATCTGTATGACCAAAACTGACGAAGTATTTTAAGAGCAAACGATCGCACCGGCACCTCCATCTGTGAAGCTGTAGCCCAAGCGCGCTACTGTTCAGCTTCCACACTCCGCACAAACACATGAACAGCGCACTTTTTTCTAGGTTAACATTAGATTGAGCGCCATGTAAAGTTGCTACTACATATTTCAGATGATAAGCCATATATGAGGTCGATGAATGTTAGGTGAGCATATGGATGTCCTGCCCGATGTACTATTACCACAGAGACCAGCTGTTAACGATTTGTTTGTCACAAACTGCGTTATTTCGCAACTTCGTGTGGAATTTTTTTTTCTGCGAAGCCTTCTCGTCGACTAACTGTTAGTCGACTATTAGGGGGGAGCCCTAAAAAAATAATTTAAAGGTCCCATATTGTCAAAACTGAAATTTCCTGGCTTTTTTCATGATAACTGAGGTCTAGGGGCTATTTAACTACCATATAAGTTTCAAAACAGTCAGTCCACAGTAAAATGCACACAGCCTGCATAAAGTAGCTGTGATTTTTCACAAACCATTGTGACTTCCGTAAAAAGTTGACGTCAGAAATACACAGTCACTGCCTTCAGTCACCACCCCGAGCACCGCCCACCGTCCCACTCTCCTTTTGCCAAATGCCCAGACAACATCCTTAGCGTCCATGCCATTGTTGAGTAACAACAACACAGAATAATGTCGAAAAGGTTAATTTAACCACGAAACCAGATCGGCTGACCTGTAACGTTAAACTCTCACTCAAAGGATGGACGATCTGACAGGATTGTTACTATGAGGTGGATCACATCTAATGTGTATAGTAAAGACAAACTCCCCTGTGACCCTAGTTACCTGTGGTTGGCCTGGCCGTGCGTCACTCAGAAAACAACAGGCCAATCAGAAGAGAGGCTCATGAATATTAATTAGACAGGCCAAAATCGACCTGTTCTCAGCAGAGCTCCTGAGAGAGGAGCTGTAAAAATATATTGAGATAGTTTTTGGTACTTATACCGCAGATATATATTCTTAAGGACATCAAAACCTAAAATAAAACCCCAGAAAGGTATAAAATATGTGACCTTTAAAGAAAGTTTTTGTCAGTGCCCTTTTTATTCTTAATTTTGACATAAATTTTAATTTTTACACCAGATATATATATCGGCTCAAAATATCGGTTATCAGACTACTTGATCTGTAATAATCGGCATCTGCCCTGAAAAATACATATCAGTCGACCCCTACACTAAACAACTTGGAGAATGTAAGAGAATGTAAAAGCCCATAAATGTATCTTTCATATCTCTAGCTCTCCAGTTGTGAGCAGTTTTGCTGAGGAGGAAAGACTGCACTCTTTCTTGAGAAATATGGAGCAGGAAAGGACAGCTCTCGGTGAGTTAATTCAGACTCATGCAAAACTGTCCCCCCACCTCAGTGTGCCTGAGAGACAAGCAGCGGAAATACAGCAAAACAATTTGCAAAGCCAGTGGAGGGTGCTGGAGAAGGATGCAGAGATTGCTCTTTACATGTTTAATGCTCATGCTAAAGAAATCAGCAGCCTTATTCAAGAGGTCAGTGCCTTAAAAGACCATCTCGAGAACATTCAGAAGACCTTGGATGCATCGAAATCCTCACCAGTTTTATGGGATGGCAAGAGAGCTCAAGAAATTATTAATTTAAATGCTGATCTCATTTCCACCCATCAGCAGTACCTCTACCTTCAGCAGACCTCTGAGGCACTTTCCCAGGAATTCCAATTCAATGCAGAGATATTCAGCATAGAGCAGGATCTTCAGTATATAAAAGATCAGCTGAATCAAATGGGTGAACAGTTAGCAGCTTCAACTCCTAGCAGCAGCAACTCAACGTTACGTAAAATTGTTAAGGTGATGACAGATGCTCTGGCTTGGGCCAAGCAGACAGAATGTGATGTCAAAGGACGACAGAAAAAGGTATCTTTGCTTCCAGAAGAAGTCCATCGACAGATTAAAGATTTAAAGAAATTGCAGTCTGAGATGAACTCGAAGCAAACCCAGTTGAATTCTTTGGTTGAGGAAGTTACTGAGCTGATTTGTGATCTAGATAAAGCTGATGTTTCGATGGTGACCTCATCCTTGAAGGTTCTAGAGAATTTGTCCAAATCAACAGCAGGAAACCTGGCTGAGGCAGTTCGCGAGATGGAGTCAGGGCTTCAGACCCGGGAGAAGATGTCAGAGCAGATAGCAGATGTTGATTCCTGGGTGGTTGGTCATCTGCAGAGGGAAGCTTTGAGGAGAGAAGATTATCAAAATTTGAGTGTGGCAGACCTGGATCGCAGGTTGAGGCAGATCCAGGACACTCTTGGAGAGGCAGAAAAGCAGTCCGCTCTCACTGAAGCCCTTCTGATGAAAAGCAGAGACATTGCATCCGAGCTAAGTGTCACAGAGAGTACTAAGCTCTATGAGAAACTCACCAACCTTCAAGAGGACATCAGAAGTATTATTATCTATGAGAAGGCATGTTGCCAGAAAGTTATGGATGTTATACAGAGCCAAGAATCCTCTCAGAGGAAGGTGTCATCTCTCGAGAACAGCCTGAGACAAATGTTAGTTGATGTAAAAAGACACAGGTTTCCTGTTACCAAGGATACCCTCTCTGTCATTGAACCCTTTAAACAGATGCTTGTGGAGCGCAAATCTCAGGTTGAGCAAGTCAGTCCTTGTTCAGAGGACAAGAGAAGAGAGATGTTATGTGTTATTACTGAACTGTACCACAAAATGATTGATTTGGATCTCAAATCACAAGCTCATGAAAGGTACTTGAGCCTCAGTCGGTGCACTGAAGATGTCAAGGAAGAAATGGAGGCTCAGATCCCAAGGACCAAAGATGAGAGCATCAACAAAGAGGAACGCTACAGAGCCTGTCAGGCCCTTCTGATCCAGATCTCTTTAGTAAAACTCTTGTGTGAGGAAACAATGGATGAATTGCAGGAAATCCTAGCAGATCTATATCCATCTCAGCTCTCTGCTGAACAAACAAGACTCAAACAAATACTGGAAAGTCTCAAAACCTCAGAAATGGCAGTGAACAATAATCTTCAGATATTGGAATGGGATCTGCTAAAACATATTCATTATCCATCAGAAAAAAGAGTACTTCAGCAATTCCTCAAAGACACCAATGAGGAGCTGGAAAAGCCTTGTAGTATTGAACCAAAAGAGGCAGTGATTGAAAAACAACTAAGAAAGTGCCTTGTACTCAGAAAGAATGTAGAATCTAGAATGCGAGTGCTTGAGTTCCTTGAAAAAAAGATTGGCGCTCAACCTACACATGACTCCAAACAGCTTACTTGCTTGAAGGATATGGTTTTGGAAAAGTGTGATCAACGAATGGTGAGTTTAATCTGTTTCATCTTTGACACACAGTTTCATCGATCTATTCATTTGCAGTATAGTTGGTGCAAATGTTTAGAAACATCATATACAGAATCTTTAATGAAAATATAAATTTAAACAGATAAAGTCAAGGTAGATTTCTGCTGTCTTTTCAGGTGAGCCTAACTAAAGCTAAAGAACTGCTGAGGAACTACACCAAAGCAGTGACCGATACCATTCGGTTCCTCCAAAGAGCCACGTTGGCCCTCCTTCCCTCAATCTGCTCTGCTAGAAGCTGCTCAGAAAGACTAATAGATGCACAACATGCTTTACTGACTCTAGACACAGAGTTCCAGTCACATGTTTCACAGCTTCAAGCTCAAACCCCACAAGATCCCTGCTTCAAGCCACAGAAGATTGAATTTCTACACACAGAGGTTCTAGGCGAGCTCCTGGTCAGGCTATCGACCCTTAAGGCCCAGGCTCAAATTAATGTAGAATCTTTGAAGAGGTACATAATGTAGTATGAAACCTTATTATACTGTATAAGAACTTTTTCCTAAGAGTAAATGGTCATAATCCCTAATCAAGATACGCAATTACTGTTAACCACAATACACTCAGTATGCTTGTCAAATCTCAAATCTTTATGAAACATTAACATATCTTGTCATCAAATTACAAATACCCCATGTCAAAATTAACCAATTTCTTGTCCATAACAAGGTGTTTTGAGTGGCAGAAACATTCTCGTAAGTGCTACGAGGAGCTTTGCCAGCAAGTGAGAGACTTAGAAACATTGCTATCACAGTGTGCTTCCAAAAAAATTACTTCACACAAAGACTGCAAAGACCAGCAACAGAAACTCAAGGTAAAGTCAAAATAAAAGCCTTTCATGTAGAAAGACTAGCATTTGTTAGACTACCATTACCTCCCCTTATAATCTAAAGATATTTTTCATTCATCTGTGTTTTGCCAGCTGATGCAATGAGATACATATGAATTTGAGGCTAGTATATTTAAACATATTCTTCATCTTTTTAGGCTCTAGTGGAAGAGGTTGCCATGCTTCCTGGAAAACTGGAGAATCTGAGAGAGTGGTGTTCACTGTATGGGTGCAGAGCCAACAGGGAGGATGCCGTGAGTGCTATCTGGGGTCAGGTGGCAAGACTGCAGCGCTGTGGCTGTGATCTGCAGACACGCTCCGAACAAATGGAAGCAGAGTGGAGCAGTGTCACAAGGAGTGTAAGTGCCTTGACTATAACTGGTGCACCAACATGCATGTGAAATAACAATGAAACTCGTGTTTTGGTATGCTTACTCTAAATAAATCATTACACTACACTCTTAAAAATAAAGGTGCTTCACAATGCCATAGAAGAACCTTTTTGTCTAAATGGTTCCATAAAGAACCTGTAACATCTGAAGAATCTTTGTTTCACAAAAGGTTCTTTGTGGCGAAAGAAGGTTCTTCAGATTATAAAAAGGTAAGAAAGAGATAGTTCTTTAAAGAACCATTGACTGAATGGTTATTTATGGCACCAAAAATGGTTCTTCTATGGCATCGCTGTAAAGAATCTTTTAAGCACCTTTATTTTTAAGAGTGTATAACAGACTGTGCAGATAAGAAGAACTGAGCTTGTTTTCCTTTGCTGTCATTCTGCAGGTGGAGCAGGCAGCCACTGTGTTGGAGCAGGTGGATGCAGAACTTCCAGATAGCAGCAGAGAGAATCTGACGGGGGATGAGCTACAGGAACTACTGCTCTTCTGGTCCCAGTACCAGGACAGACTGGACTGTGAACACAGAGCTCTCTCCGCTTTGGAATTAAGAGCTGCAAGGGTGCTTGGTGTTCCCCCCCACCTGGAACAGGCTCCATCCTTTGAGCTGTGCCAAGAGCTTCAAGCCTTGCAAGAGCGTTACCATAGGTTAGGCACCTTCTTAGCCTACTGCTAATTGTCTTTTTTTTCTTCTTTTTTGACTTTTCTACTCAGTATCTTAAAATTATGTTTTTTTTTTTTTTTAAACATGAATGTCTTTTGCCCAATATTTCCTATTGTGAACTCCATGTCCCAGTGGTCCACACGTTCATTTCAAACCAGTGGGTTTACAGACTAAAGTAGGTCAACACTGGATGCCAATATCCCATCCCAGAGAGGCTAAACCGCACACAGACTAAGCTAAATATCTGGATAATATTTAAATTTACATGCATGAAAGTTTATTTTATGTTGAACGAGAACATACTGATGTAAGGATTCTAGGACGGTTAATAGTTTATTTTTTCCTCCTGCCTTTTTAGCATCCATTTTGCAGTATGGACTTGGATTGAAAGTTTAACATGACTTTTAAATTGTATGTCCTGCAGTCTAAAGGAACGGAGCTCTCAGGGTTTGAGGGCAGTAAGAACAGAGGTGGAGGAGAGGGAACGAGTGCAGGAGCAGCTGGAGGGAGTTAGAGAATGGCTGGAATCTGCAGTCTCTCTCCTTGCTGTACTGGAGCACGAGCCCAGCAAGAAACAACTACAGGTTTGTTAAGCTGGTTTTTATCCACTTTAGATGTTTTTTTTACTTGAGTTAAATAATTGGATTCTAACTTTGCACAGGCAAGATTTGTTACAGTAAGTAAATTTATTGCACCAGCATGAGAATTACTAAAGCTGATGAGATGCAGATGAAAGGGAGGGATTTGCCATTGACACAATGTTCTGTTTGTCCCTGACTGCGAGCAAACTTCATTATATCTGCCCTCACTCTGCATGATGTACTGTATGAATAATACCTCTCACCCATAAATAATACTCCACCTTTTCATGTTGGGGAGTAACGTGTTAACTAAATTGACTACATTTTTCATTAGGCATTACAAATCATCTGCTTTCAAATCAGTGTAAGTTTTTTCATTTTGGTGTTGCAGCAAAGGTTCCTGTGTTTTGTTCGTTGTGAAACATTTAATTCTGTGGTTCTTTAGTATGTTTTCCACTAAATTTAATAAATTAGGGTTTCCTAGTTTGATTAGTTGCTTGCTTTTAGTTTCTACTATCTAAAATCTGAATAATTTTTGTGCCAGATAAATGTTTGGGTATTTTTTGTAGTGTAGATAGGATTTTGAAAGAGTAGACTGCCATAGTCAATGTGCCTATGACTTTACAGATCTCATACCTTACTGGAAAAGCAAAGCAAATGCACATACAAAAGTACAGATGCATACTGAAACGATATTTCACAAATTAAGACATTTTAAAAATGAATAAACCCGAATAGACAGTGACAGATTAATGAATCCTGCAGTGTTTGTTTCTGAGCAGCAGAGATACTGTGGGTAATGGCATACAGTGCTGTTTAGTCTAGGTTTTATTGTTCAGTATTGGTTGTCCCAACCAGGCTCTTCCAAGTGACATGTAATTTGTAGTAATGGAAACCAAGCAATCAACAAAATATCCTGTTGTTTATAGCTTACCACGACTGTCGCTGGTTAAGACAAGCTTTTATTTGCTTGCTCTTTATGTCTATTTAGAACACTGCATGACTGTTTACTGTGCTGAATAGGCTGTTCCGTCCAATCAGTTCAAACACACACACACTCTTAAAGATTCAAAGACTTTTAAACAGTTATTCTCTCTCGAACACACAGACTGTTGTAGATTCTCTTTACCACACACACAGACAAAGATGAGAGGGCTCTGTGTTAGTGTTCTAGTTAAATAGCGGAGTCATGTCCAATATTCCCACACAGTTTCTTTTCACTGTTTCAGATACACACACACTCTTTCTCTCTTTTTCTCATTCGCTCTCACAAACACACACTTGTGAATCAGTACCCCCTAAACACACACACCTGTAAGTGGATCCTCCAGGTCTGATCTAAACGCCAGTAATGATGTCAGCTAATGCACTTTCTATCTCTCTCACACATACAAAATCCCCGCTCAATTCCTTTTTCTTGAATCTGTTCCATATTATACTGCCAAAGCAGTAAAGCAGAATGGGTAAGAATGAGCCTAAAATATTATGAAGAATAGCAGAAGTCATAACTGTTAATAAAACCTAAAACAACTGCCAAATAGAGTAATCTGAATGGATAATCTTTCTTTCTCTCTCTCTAATGCATGGTCCATTCTGACTCTGAATCCCTCTGGGTTTTCGGTAATTTTGGGATCTTGTTTATGCAGCTTTTCTTCCCATCTTGAATGACTCATTATAATATAAAAAGGGGGTAGAAACTTTATCTCACTGGTGAGGTGAAAAGGGTTGAGATAGATAGAGAGAGCTTTTTGAGTGGATTGTTCTGGTTCTGTTATCTTAAAGCTTGAGGGACTACGAGCATCATCAGTGAATGGGTCAACCAGCAAGACTAGTGCTATATGAAAGACTGATTTGCATTGAATATCACATAATATACGAATATCACATCGTGCATCGTTTCCATTTGCTTTCTGGTGTTCCAATAAATGTAAGTGTTTTCTTTATTATATCTTTTTTGATATTTTGTATCCAGTAGAATCTCAAAACAGAAATTCTTCCACTGTAAAATGTATAACCTATTTTAACTAAAGTAAAACTTTACTTGGTAAAATATCTGCTGATATTTGTCATGAAAGAAAAATGGAAGAGTCTGAAGGGAAGTGTTATTGTCTGAAGTGTTGTTTTTAATGCCTGGATCTGTAATTTACAATTATCTGAATACAACTCTAATACAATTATTTTTACCAATCATTTGAAACTGTCTTTTTAAAAAAAAAAAGCTTATGTATTTTTTTTGTATTATACCCTAAAAAGTATTATAAACAATAATATTTTATTAAAAGTACTAACAATATTTTCATATTGTTTAATAATAAATATTTTGTTGTCACAAAGATGAGTAAAAGGTCAATAAATCTCATACATTTCAGAAAATTGAACATTTTAGGCTTTGACAAGGTTAGTTCAGGTAATCAGAAAAACATTTCTAAAAACTTGCCACTTGTTTGAAACTGTGTTTTTCTTTCCTATTTGTCAGGGACACCATAAAATACCTTATATATCTCTGTAATAAATATGATTGTATTTTGACCACGAACAACTTCAAATTTCAGATGATGTCTCTTTCTCTATACTCACTGGCTGCCCTGCAAATTACTCATGCTTGTGTAATTTGGGAAACCAGTCAAATTTAGCTACCTTTGCTGTTCTTGTTTATGGCACTTCGATGAGCTTTGGTTTGGAAAAAAAATCTTGTACCAAGAAGTACTTTGAAATTAAATGGATAAAATGGAAAATGGTTATTTGTGCAGTCCATAGATGTACTCTCTTCTAATGTAGCCTAATTGATGAGCAATGTCGCTTTTTGCTAAACAGGAGGTTCACTCACAGCTGTGTACCCAGAAGGCCGTTCTGCAGCGTATTTCGGAAAGCTTGAAGATGATGTACTCTGAAAAAAATACATCAATTCCAGAGGAGATAGAGGGACTATTACAGGAAGTCTCACAGTCATTACAGGAAGTGGAGGAACAGGTTTGATGCATTCTTTGAATGATTCTCAACTTAATTTGTTTCAGCACCCAGATTTTACATTCATCGAAACATACCTCTAAAAGTTTTTTCTTATTTTAATATGGACATTTGGCAAATGTTTGTGAGCGCTGACAAGAGCACCAGAATGTAAAATACTCTTGTCTGTTATTGAATTCAAATACAACTAAATGTGCTTTGCGCACCTTTTAAACATCACACTCTCTGCTGTTTTATGTCATGTTTAATGAATTAAGAGAGGAGAACATCTCACTCTAGAACAGGTAGATCCCTGCATCAGAGACACATACTCAACACACACACACACTCTTTTACAGGTGTAAGAGGTGTTGCATCATTCATATACAAACGTTAACACACACATGTAGTAGTTAGGTACGCGCTATGGGTTCATTAATTAGGGTCTGGGCCTCTTGCAGTTCTTGTTACTAGAGTTTTGTCTCATAGACACTCAATGTGTCCATGTGTTTAGTGCTTTTTAAAAGTAATATCAGTAATTCTGTTTATTTTAATTGACATATACCTGTTTTATGTCCATTTCACTCACTCACTCACAGGTGAAGACCGCTGTGGAGAAAAGTGGCCCACTTCACAGGCTGGGTGCTAAAATCTCGGAGATTAAAGCAGGTCTGGAATCAGTTCAGAGCTGGTTAGAGCAGAAGAGCCTGAACTTCACTGAAGCTGAGAGCACACAGAAGGTCAGACATAAATTTAGCTCAGTGTAAGACTTGTTTCATGCATTTTGTATTGTAAATGTACATTATCTTACTATTGGTGCCCATATTAACAGGTTACAGCATAGCAGACATAATGCTACAAGTCGTTTCAGGGAAAGCTCAAAATAAACCTGCCTGTTTTAAATTAGTTTTTACACAACTGTGAAGTCTAGATGCAGATTAAAAAAGTAATGGAAGATTTATTATGTGTTTTATTGTTCCTTTGCAGCGAGTGTGGGATGAGTTGGATGGTTTACATACTCGTCTGACAGCGGTCGAGGTGGAGTTACAGGATGTTAGTGAAATGCATCCAGATGAGACCTGTCTGTTATTAGACAACCTGGCCAACACTCATCAGACCCACACACGCCTCACCAAACAGGCCGAACAGAGGACCACCTTCCTCAGCAAGGTCACCTGCTCAGATTCCCATGATGCTTTGCTGTACTTGGATAAATATTTAAAGAATGGTTAATCTAAAATTGAGCAAAGAAGTTAAACATGATAGAGAAAACCGGAGTTTCTGTGAATTCTAACTAATTTATGACTTAAATTGTGTGTTATCTAAAGTGTGTTATCTAAACTGTCTCTGTGTAGGTCCGTGACTGGCTGCAGGAGCAGGAGGAGATGGTGAAGGGGTCACAGAACTGGATCTCAGAGGCTCAGTCTTGGCTTACAACACCCTGCACATACACCACTGCCAGATGCCTGGACAGTCATGCGAATGCACTGCAGGTATTACTCTCAGAAACCTCATTATCATTTAGCTGACTGCTGAAGAAACCTGCATCATCCCACTGTTGGGTTTGAACTTAGTATTCGGTTACATGCCCAGATCTTTTATGAATCAGTCTAAAAGTCTTTATCATTTTCGTGTTTTAGATGGTTCTGGATGATTCTGCTCAGATGAGACGGACTCTGCAGGGTTTCGGCAGTGTGCTGACAGAGATGGGAAGTGTGTTTGATGTCAGTCCATTAGAGGAGCAGCTCTCAAATGCTGATCGACGTGTGGCAGACATGCAGCACAACCTGCTGGGGCCTCTCTCTCAGCTGGAGCATGCAGCAGCAGTGAGCATACCGGCGTCTAATAAGATAAATGACTATATATTATAGACTTGTATTGTTTTTATATAAAGCTTATAATAATTACTTTTATATTTATCATATATATATATATATATATATATATATACAGGTGCATCTCAATAAATTAGAATGTCGTGGAAAAGTTCATTTATTTCAGTAATTCAACTGAAATGCATTTTGTATTTACTTGCATTATCTTTGTGTAATATTAAAATTAGTTTGATGATCTGAATCTTTTAAGTGTGACAAATATGCAAAAAAATAAAAAAACAGGAAGGGGGCAAAAACCTTTTCACAGCACTGTATATATATATATCTGTGTGTGTGTGTTCTATTTTATCTAACATTCCCAGAGGGAGGTTAGCTAAACTGTAGTTTAGTGCATACAAATGCAGAGCTGTGTTATCTGTAAAAGAGAAAAGTGAATTTCGTGAATTTGTGAATTTCATCTGTTCATGTATGTTTGCATGGTGTGTTTTTAAGGAAGTGGATGCCATTGAGTCAGAGGTGAAAGTCATGGAGAAAGATGTGGCCAAAATCAAATCTACTCTGACCACCAAAGAAGACATCAGTCAGGACAGTCTTAAGGTAAAAGAAAATTTAGCCTTGTATTTAAACATTTGACCAGGTATGGGCGTAACCAAAATGATGTAGTTACTATTAAGATCCTGATTGCTGTGGGTGTTTTGTGTGTGTTTGCAGGCAACAGAAGAAAGGATTGACCTGATGAAAAGGACAGTCACTGAGATTCAGAACTGTAAAGATGGTCTGTGTCTTCCTGACAAAGCTGAAAACACACTCCCAGTGTTCAAAAAAGCAGAACTACTACAGAAACAACTGCTGGAACTTGAACAGGTGTACATATATACTGTATGCACACACAAGCATGCAAACACAATTCACACAATGCTCAGTATTATGTTTGTGTCCTCTCAGCTGGCACTAGAATACTCGATTGAGGTACAGGAGACATCTGTCCCACCTCTCTGTGTCACACCCCGCAATGTGCCACCCCTCAATGCGCCGCCCCTCACTGCCCCAACACTCAGTGTTCCACCCACAATCACTGAGGAAGACACACAGGTTAGACGAAATATTAGGTTACAATAATGTTGATCAAGAGGCAGTGATTACATATTGATTATAATATGTGTGTGCAGGAGAGTGGTCAGATTCAGATTGTGCATGTAGAGGAGGACATCCTGAAAAAGTCAGGAGCAACGCTGATGACGGTGGAGCAATCCACACTGGAGCAGAGACTCACCTGGATCTCTGATAGAAGCAGCCACACCCTCACAGAAACACAGGTATGAGAATTAAGAAATAAGGTATATGTAAGGTGCAATATATAGTCATGGCTAAAAGGCTTTGTTGGGCACAGCATTTATAGTTCATTGCTTTCATAGAACAGTTACTTCAAAACAAAAATGTCAAATGTCAGCACCGTTATAGCCTTGTGAGCAGCGCGCCGACATACAGTGTCATAGCGCTACGGGCATCCCATGTTCGAATCCCGTCTTGAGGACCTTTCCCGATCCTGACCCGATCTCTCTCCCAATTCGCTTCCTGGTAGTTCTGATCTGTCCTTTCGTAATAAAGGCAAAAAATGCCAAAAATAAATCTTTTAAAAAATAGTCTGGACATGTTCATTTTATATGTTTATAGCTTATTTTAAAGTATCCTTTTAAAAAATATATTTTACATATGGGAAGAAACCTTAATACTGAAAAAAAGCATGTTCTTGTTGGTATATATATATATTTTTTTTAAATGTTAAGTGTACAATAATCCACTTTCTCTTTTTAAATGTTCATTTCTATGTAAATAAATATACAAATAAGCAGTTAGAAAGCCAAGGCTGTATTAATTTGATCAAAAATTCAGTAAAAACTGTAATATTTTGAAATATTATTACAATTTGAAATATTACAATAGTATTTACAATTTGAAGTCAAAATATTTTATTAATTTATTCCTGTGATGGCAAATCTGAATTTTTTTATCTGCAGCCATTACTTTAGTCCTTAGTGTCATATTATCCTTCATAAATTTAATATGCTGATTTTGGTGCTCAAGAAACATTTCCTGTTATTATCAACATTGAAATAGTTGAACCGCGATCATTTTTTCAGGATTCGTTGATAAATAAATAAAGTACAAAAGAGCAGTATTTGTTTAAAACAACACAACCATGTTTGGTTTTATAAATGTTTTTGTCACTTTTAGTCCAAAAAAAAAAACTTAATGGTTTATATTCTCAAGTACTAAAATACAGACCGTTAGCATTTCTGGTACAGCCAAATGCAAAAGCTAGAGTTCTGCTGGCTTCACACACTTGATGTTATTAACCTAGAATGTTCTAACACGGGGTAGCATAATTCCTTCTTATTCGCATATTTGTGAGGTTAATAATATCAAGTGCAGCACATGACATGTCTGCAGTCTGTCTATCTGCGGAAACCTCTCCATCACTCCAGTTGACGCTATTTGTGTGTCTGTGTGGTTGCACGGCTGTGTTTGTGCCTGCTGCTGTGCATGTGTGTGTCTCTGATGTGATGGAACAGCAGGAGTCTGAGGAAGAGCAGGAGCTCTGTGAAGATCCAGGAGATGGAGAGGAAGATGCTTCTGATGAAGACTATGAAGATTGCATAAAAAATGAGGATGAGGAGGCAAGAGGAAGATCACCAACCTCTCTGAATTCTGAGGCTTCCTTCAGCATGACTGTGGAGGTAATGCTGGGGGATCAGAGACTTCAGCCCTGGACACCTCCTGATGTTTCCTCTGCATGTTTTCTACATGCTTACTCTTTCCATCACATGGTTCATAGTTTTTCCACCATTTGACTTAACCTGTTATGTACTTTACTACATTTATCGTCACCCTCCTCATCTTCACCAAGTCCTTGTTTCTTCTTCTTCCAGATTCTGCTTTGTCACATCAAAGTTTTGATTTCTTTCTTTCAGTTTAATATAAAGATAATTCAGATTTTACTTCTCTGAACTCAGTGCAGTTTGATTAGATGATGATGTGCGTGTTATTCCTCGTCCTCTAGGGGGCAGTATGACTTCATTCTTTCATTGAGTTTGCATTTACAATTTTTCAGATACTCCCTAAATTTGCGAATCACAAGTGCTGTGATCTCCATTTGCAAATGTGGCGCATGATGAATTAATTTAAACATTATGCAAATCTAATTTATATCCGTCTAAAATGTATTACGTGTATTTTACAGAGATTAAGTTTAAATCTGTATTATTAACAATACCATGATTCTGTCATGCAGGTGTTCATAGGCACAATATAGAGAACTCTTATCCATGGAGAAATAACTATAATAATGCACAACATATTGGGCTTTATAAATGTGTTTTGCAAACTCTTCAGTTTGAGACTAGACTTAATCTGTACTTGAATAACCAATCACGTGGTTGACAATGTTTTTTTGTTTTTTTTTGTGCAGGACACAGTTTCTGCAGACGTGGTTTCTTCTACAGAACAGATTTTGGAGCAAGCAGAAGCAGCAGACTCAAAGGTAACACTAGACCTCTACAGTAATGGCCAGTCTTTGTGATCACATTAATGTGTATGTGTAGTGTTTTCAGGGGCAAAATTATTGCTGCCTTGCAACCTCTGAAAAAAGACAGTGTGTCAAATTTTTGTTCTTGAAAAAGTGCTAAGTGGCCACTTAAAACTCTCGACCACTTAAAACATTTTTACAAATAACTATAATAATGCACAACATATTGGGCTTTATAAATGTGTTTAGCAAACTCTTCAGTTTGAGACTAGACTTAATCTGTACTTGAATAACCAATCACGTGGTTGACAATGTTTTTTTGTTTTTTTTTGTGCAGGACACAGTTTCTGCAGACGTGGTTTCTTCTACAGAACAGATTTTGGAGCAAGCAGAAGCAGCAGACTCAAAGGTAACACTAGACCTCTACAGTAATGGCCAGTCTTTGTGATCACATTAATGTGTATGTGTAGTGTTTTCAGGGGCAAAATTATTGCTGCCTTGCAACCTCTGAAAAAAGACAGTGTGTCAAATTTTTGTTCTTGAAAAAGTGCTAAGTGGCCACTTAAAACTCTCGACCACTTAAAACATTTTTAACGTTTTGTAGTCTTTTGGAACTACAAAAAGATATCATATCAGATATCATATCAGAGTACGTAAAGAGTAACCTCTGTTTCCCTGTGTTTGCAGGTAGAAGTAGATACCTCTGTGGCCTCAGGAACAGGTGTGTCAGAAGCTTTATCTGAAGCAGATGCCACAGTGGAAAGCCAGTCTCTCCCTGCAGACATGGTAACCAATACCTCCTCTGTTACAGAGATCTCCACGTCCCCTTCCAGAGGCCAGCAGAGGTGTTTGGTCTCCTAGTTGTAGTTCTCTCCCTACAGAACCTCCATGTCTTAACTCCCACCTCTACAACCCCTAGATGTAGATGTTTCTAGAGCTAGAACTCTCTTCCCAGTGCATTTACATGGCAGATGTGTAAAAAAATTAAGACTTCTGAGGAGAGAATCTCTTCAAATAGTTCAGAACTGAGTTCACAATAATGAAACAAGGGGAAAATTAGGCTAAATAGTTTTATATAAATCAAACAAATCATTGTATATAAGGACTTAAAGCAACTTCCTGAGGAGGAGTTCATGATTTTCTTTTTAAATGTTTTTGATGTTGACTAATTCTGTCAGGTATATTCTGCAGATCAAGAGAGAGAACATTCTAATACCAAAGAGCATTTTGAATTTTTGTCACTTTCCATAATATCAATGTTTACATGTTACACCGTGTCTATACAGGACGTGTGCGGTGTTGCACAATAAAACTGGATCCCATTATAATGAACTACAGTATAAAGGTGCTTTCACACTTACTGTTGCTCAACCGAATTTTGCAAAATAAACTATTTTACCAGCTAGCAAACAAACCAACCCTAAATAATTGCTTTCTAAACAGATGTTTTTTTCATCTGGTTATAGTATTGAAGTATAGTGTTATGAAAAAATGGCTGAATAGAAAGTTCACCAAATCTGAACCTGACGTGAAATTCACTTTGACATTAAGGAAATTTATTTTTGCCACCAAAAGCCCATCAGGCTAATTTCTTCACTGCGCCGATTTCAGTAGAAATTTCACCTGCACAATTTCTCAGAGCGACGATAAATATGACTGCACCTTAACGCTTAAAAAGCACTATTTTTCATACGCTGCACAGTTACTCCCACCAGTTTCCATCAGATATAAAACTATTTTATTTACAAATATCATTATACACTACTAGTCAAAATTTTGGACACACCTACTTTTCATTACCTTTTCATTATTACTATTTTCCACATTTAAGTGTAATTATTGCGTTAAATGTCCAACCAAGCAGGAAAATCAGTGTATTTGTCCATTGCATGGTATCTTTTCCTTGACTTTTAGCTACTAAATACAATACTATGATACCAAAAAGATCCTAAAATCTTTTATATGGCATGTATTTTTTTGATTTTTATATAGCAGTGTGTTTTCTTTTTCCAAATGCAAAATAAGATGGTTACTCTGAAAGGATTGTTGAACAGATTTTGTTTCGTGGAGTGAAACAGTGTAATGTGAACAGTAAAAATCAGCTAATCGCTAGCTGCTCACTCTGCACAGTTATGTCTAAGTGCATGTGTATTATGATTAATTGTATTGTTTTATTGTTTTTCATGAACGATTGCTGTTTACATGACACATTTTCTAAAAGTACACTTTTCCTGCTCAAGAATATAAGAAGAACAATAGTATACTGTATGTTTTATGTTATTTATATTTAGTATTTTGTCTTTTTGTGCCATGTAAACGCACTGACTCTTATACGCACCTGTGCATGTTCTCCTGATCTCTCCCTCTGATACCTCCTGTGTGAACACTATCATGCTCCTTTCAAGTCTGAAAAAAAATAAATTCCAACAAAAAATTCACACTTGTTCGTCTCTCTCTTTCTCTGTCTATGTCAGGACCAGGGTGCATGGAGGGGGGAACAGACGCCACACACCAATTACAAACTCACACTGACACACATGACACAGAAACATTCAGAGTCACAAGCCCCACCCACTGAAACAAAAGACATGTTCACCTTACATAATGTCATGACCTCTGATGAAGGGCTGGGTGATTCCTTAGAAAAACTTAAGGTAGTTTCAGAAATACATTCCACACTCAGTCAACAGACTCACTTAGAGAAAACCACCTTTGTGCCTCAGAGCCTGAGCTCCACAAAACCCACAAATACACCATCAGCCAAATCACCAGAGCAACATTTACACACTCTGACACACACTCCTTCAAATACAGAAGACCGTAGGTTAGACAGCAGAAGCACACACGACACACACACACAAATTACAGTCAAGCCCTGCCTGGAGAGGACAGAGCCACTGGCTGCAAGTGCATCTTTGGTAAGCACAGATGCTGATAGTGAATCTCACCCCACTGACTCACACTTTACACATTTTATCTGCACATTTCTCTTTGCTCACCCAAAGGACAAATATTTCTGTTTCTTACACTAGAATAGCCTACTCAGTGCTATTTTTGCAGTCTGAGATCTCAAAGATTGGATTCAGTAACAGGAATTTACCTTTGCAACTAGGTGATTCCTTAAAAATAATCCTTCATTAATCATTAATTGTTGGTTATTAATAATTAACAGCTCGATATGTACTATTATTAATATTATTAATATTCGGTATTATTACTATTACCGTGCTAAACAAACTGCACAAAATCAGGAATCCACCCATATGCAGAAAATATATTCAAAACTAAACTAAACAATTTGTATATTTTTCTGCAAATGTCCACATTAATCTTTTTTTTTTTACATCCTACAATTGAGGAGGCCAATTTTTATTTTTATTTTTGCTGTTGTGACTTTAATACTTGTATACAAATACCCTTGTGCATAGAAATCCTACTTCCTCATTAGCTTACCCACAGAATAGGCGTTGATGTAAATACGGGCAGTCCAGTGTTGAAATGTCTGTCTGACGTCAAAAAGTTTTTAATAAAAAGTCTCTGTGGACTGGGAAGGAAGTTTGGATTTTTGAAAGAATGTTTTCATAGTACAAAAAAAAAAATCACGAAAAGAGTTTGATAAAATATGACCCAGGACTATAACCACCAAAGACACTTAGGGGGACACATTCCCAGTTTTCAGATTTGAAGTCCACCATAGGTTATGGTGTTTGATTCTTAAATTATTATAGAGCCCGTCTAATCTATGTGGCTATATTTCTGATATATGGAAGAAAGAGTAACATCTATGAATTGCAGTAATTCCAATAAATTAAGATATTCTGTGACAAAAGCAGGGTTTTCTCTAAAGCTAGAAATAAGTGAATTGTAATGGAATAGAATAAAGGATGAAAAATAATCTAGGCCATTTGAGCCTGTGCAAGGCAAAAGTATAGTTCCTCCTTAATGTGTGTGTGAGTGTGTTCCTTGTCACACAAGCTGCCCTCGAAAGTGACGACATTCCAGGAAGTAGTTGTAGCCGCAGGTGGGTGGAGAAAACCAGGGACAGAGAGAGAGAGAGAGAGAAGCTACATGACAAATGACTGGTATGAAAGCTGAGACAGTTTATTGAGAGAAAGACTGCACCAGGGGGCAGAGAAACAAGCAAAAGGGTTAAACCTGTGTGAGACAGAAACTGAGAGAGAAAGAAAGCAGAGTGTGTGAGAGTGTGAAAGTTTGTTTGTCTCTGGGTCAGAGGACACACCCAGTGTGTGTTTGTGTGTTTGTGCTGCTGTGTACTCACTGTTTCTGCTGCAGTCAGCCAGAGCAGGTGTTCTCTCTCTCTCTCTCTCTCTCTCTCTCTCTCTCAGTACACCTGTCTTTACCTTTACCTGTCTTCTTCTATTATCCTTCCCCTGCCTCGTGATTTTCTTTTCTCTCTTCATGTACATCTGGCTCTGAGCTGCTGTTGTGTATGATTGTCCAGGCCGCAGGTGAATCCGGGGGCTTGGGTGGATGGTTGTCCGGTGACGGGCTGCTTCATGCCTGCTGTGAGAGGGCCAAGCAGCTGGAGGTGTGTCTGGAGAGAGCACAGGTCAGTCTGGAGGGGTCGAGACAGCAAGCACAGGACGCAGCCATGCAGCACTGCATTGAACAACAACTTCACAACTGCCAGGTGATCACACACACACACACATATACCTGCATTTCAAAGGTCAAGGAAATGTTTTGATATTTGATTTATCTCTGCATGTGACTTTAAATATATATTGTTGTGATTATAGTTAACTAAAACGGTTATACATTAGAACAGGGAATACATTCACTATTACTTAAGAGTTTTCCCTCAATAAACCGCTAATTTGCTGCTTATTTATAGTTAGTAAGGTAGTTGTTAAGTTTGCGTATGGGCTAGGATCTAAACTATAGTCATGGAGAATAAGGCATTAATATGTGTTTTATAGGTACTAATAAACGGCCAGTATACTAGTAATATGCATGCTAATAAGCAACTAGTTAATAGTGAGAATTGGTGCTTAGTATAAAGTGTTACCACTAAAACCATTTGAAATAAAATAAAAGTAAACTGAAATAAAATATAAAAACTTCAGCCAAGGCAACATTTCTCTAAATTAATTTACTAAATTAATGTACTAAAATGACTAAAACTGAAATAAAAATGACAAAAATCTATTGGCTATCTGACTCAGCAGAACAGGAAGTGCTCAGAGCTGAGATCTGTCACACATTGAGCCTGGTTATATATTTGGCTCCGTTCAAAATAAAGTTGCCTCTAAACCTGCCATGAGTATTACAGACCAATCTGACACGATCATACAATCTTCTTGTAATGTTTCTGTCTGTAAAAAAGTAGAACTGTTCAGTTCTATAAAACTTTAAAAGACATCATTATCAGTTTCTGTAGAAATCAGTTCTCTCCTGTATAATCAAGTCTTTCTCTTTTTCTTTGTGCCTTGCTCTTTCATTGTCTGTCTTTTTCTGCAGTGTTTTACAACTGTAAACTCGTTTATTGCTTGGAGATCTAAGTGTTTGCTGATGGCAGTAATCACAGGTCACAAACTCAGATCTCATGATGTACATTTAAACACAATGCAGTCTTTATGATTAATAGACTGTCAAAGTTTATTTTAACTTAGAATTTTGGTTAGACTGAAAATGTATTATTTGTTTAGAATAATAGTTACAGTGTACAAAAATACTGATTGGCTGAAATACAATCAGGAGCAGATTAGATTAGATTAGATTAGATTGGTTTCAGTGATTATGGAAACAAAATAATTATTTTGTTTTATTGTCTTATTTGATGATGGATAACTGCTTTTGCTCTTAATGCTAAATCACTGCAGGTAAATCTTAGCGCTGAATCGCTAGAGTTAAATGCTTATATTTGTGTTTATAAGCATTAGAAATGCAAGTGTACAGTAAGTGAGTGAGTGGGCAGTACTGTACATCATGGCTCAATTAAACCAAATAATATGAGTCTGCTATTTACTTTTCGGGTGGAGTGAAGACATACTGATGCCTGCTTCTTTTCTTTCCTTTCTCTCTCAACTTATTTTATTCTCTTTTAAACACACATACATGTTATACACAGAACATGCATGAGCATGTCTGTAAACCCACACAGCGCTGTATTTCCGATGCATTAACGTGTCAATGCATCATGAATTTCAACTTCTCCTTTCTTAAGGAAACTCTATGCAGATATTTCAGTTATTGAGTGCTCACTTTCATTTAAAGTTACTTGAGGAGAAAGATAGCTTATCTGTCAAGTGCTGATGCAATATTTTTTCTTCCTTGTAAGTTTCCCCATTTAAATCAAATAATTTAGCCTGTCAGATCTTTTGAAGTGTGTCTTAAAGCCTAAAAGGAATACAGATGTTTATGCTCTCCTGATTTTTTGAGCTTGGCATTGAACATTCCGTCTCATTGTGCTGTTTGGAATTTTAAAGTGGTTAAACCAGATATGCAGTGCACTCACCTTTGTGTGTGTGTGTGTGTGTGTGTGTGTGTATGTGTGTAACCCAACTCCTTCATCAAAGATTCAGAGATTCAGCCGAGCTCCAGCACAGTGACCTGGTAAACGGTTATAACTACCACTTAAACACACCAGTAGCCATCGTATGCAGGAATCAATCAGCCTGTAGAAAAATATATCTGATCATTTGTTCTGGTCAAGTAGGCGTTAAAGGGTTAGCTCGCCCCAAAATTTTAATTCTGTTATAATTTACTCATCCTCATGTCATTTAA